TGTTGGGTGACGTTGATGTATCAATTAATTATGTGTACGTATTTTCATGTATACTTGAAGGTTTAATTAATTAATGAGTTGATTCTTTAATTGAATCATAAGAGAAATTAAGAAAGACTGGAGTGCATGCATCTATATGGCTATATATATATGTAATAAACGCAAAGGTAGAAGGTGGGAAGTGTCGTGCGGCGAATACAGACTAAGAAGTGCGAGAAAGGAAGTCGACCTCTTAATGATATATATATCCATGCATGAGATGCCATGCCATGCCATGCCATCATGATTGATAAGCCAAGCCTGAAATTATCCAACTTGACATTGTTAAGATTCTATTATATTCTTATAACTGTAAAACAGTTAGAGCTGGATAGTTATAATTATATTACAGTTACACCAAACTGGTTATATATATAGTTTACTCCTTTGGTTGAAGATTACAAGAGAATAAAATAAAAAATTTATTCTCTTAAAACTTGTCTAGTACCAGAGCTTTCGATTAAAGATTCAATCATTATTTCTGCTTTTACTTAATCTTCTTCAACCTTTGGCTCAATTGGATCTGGACAAAGCACAACAATAACATCCATTTTTTCCTATCAAATGCATGCGTAACCACATACTACCTGTGAAACTTAATCAAACTAATTACATCTTGTGGAGATCTCAAATGTGGTTTTTGCTATTGTTTTTTAGGATTTCATAGATGAAACCTCTATTTGTCCAGATAAAGAGCTAAGTCCAAGAGTGCTCAATCTAGCGCTTGTTGCTTGGAGAAGACAAGATCACACAATCCTCAGCTGGATTTACTCATCTCTCACTCCAGCAATCATGACACATATCATAGGCCACAATTCTTCTCACTCTGCTTGGAATGCATTGGAGAAAACCTTCTTGTGTCCTCAAGAGCCAGAATAATATAACTAAGGCTCAAGCTACAGTCCACGAAGAAAGGATATTTAGCTATGATAGACTACATCATGAAGGTCAAATGAGTTGCAGATAATCTAGCAGCTATTGGATAACATGTCTCAGAACAAGACCAAGTTATAAATCTCCTTGGAGGCCTTGGATCAGACTACAATGCAGTTGTTACAACTATTAACATAAGAGATGACAAGATATTTATTGAAAATGTTCACAGTATGCTCTTAGCTTTTAAGCATCGTCTTGAGCAACAAAGCTCGATTGAACATATCTCTATTATATCTGCCAATTATATCTCTTTCTTTAATGACAGAGGTGGTGGAAGAACATATAATGGTAGTCGAGGATAAAACTATACTCTTAATATCAGTAACTACACCTACAGAGGTCATGGTCGAGGAGGTAGATATAGAAATAACAGAAGGAATAATTCAACCAACTTTAAAAAGCCACAGTGTTAGTTATGTGACAAATTTGGTCATATAGTTCAGGTTTGTTACCATATGTTTGATATCTCTTATCAAAGGTCTCAGAATAGTGGTACTTGTTCTTCGAATGCTTATAATCAAAACTCTATTCCCACTATGGTTGCCTCCTCTAATAGTCTTGCAAATGACAATTAGTATCTTGATTCTGGCGGAAGTCATCATCTGACTCAGAATATGGAAAATCTAATCGGTTGTACACCCTACATGGGGACATATGAGGTCATAATTGGGAATGGTAAGCACTTATCCATTCCCAATATTGGTTCTCAATGTTTAGTCTCTAATTCACATATCTTCCAACTCAAAAAGGTGTTTCATGTTCCATTTATCTCAGCAAATTTAATCAGTGTTGCTAAATTATGCTCAGACAATGATGCCTTAATTGAGTTTTGATCTAATAATTTTTTTGTGAAGGATCTATATATAAAGAAGGTGCTTACTTGAGGCAGACTTGAGAATAGTCTTTACAGGTTTCCAGTATTGAACAATAAGAAATTGGCTTACGTTGGTGTTCATAAGTCTTTTATTTTTCATTCTCATACTTTTCAAGTAGAATTATAACTTCACAAACTAGGTCATGCTGCTATTGATATTGTAATCCGAGTAATGCAAAGTTGTAATGTTTCTTCTGGAAATAATAAAGCTATTGTTTGCTACACTTTTTGCTCTTCTTGTCAACTTGTTAAAAGTCATAGGTTACCTTCTTATCTTTCAATTTCCTGTGCATCTAAACCTTAGGAACTTGTTCGCACTGACATCTGGGACCTGTTTTTAGCAAAGCTACATCTGGTGCTAAATACTTCATCTTATTTCTAGATGACTACTCTTAGTACACATGGTTTTATCCTCTATAAACAAAGGAATCAAGCCCTTTCTATCATTAAGCAGTTCAAACTTCAAGTTAAAAATCAATTGGATACTAGAATTAAATGTATGCAGTTTGATAATGGTGGTGATTTCAGGTTCTTTATGTCTTTTCTTCAACAATCTAGCATTCTTTATCACTTTTCTTACCCTTACAACTCAGCTCGGAATCAGAGAGTTGAGAGGAAGCACATGCACGTTGTTAAAACTGGGTTGGCCTTATTGGCTTATGCTTCCTTACCAATAAAATTCTAGCAATATGCCTTTCAGACAACAACTTTTCTCATAAACAGAATGCCAAGCCAGGTATTTAATCATGACTTACCTTATTTCATCCTTTTTAATAAAATTCCCGATTACAGGTCTCTTAGAGTGTTTGGTTGCTTGTGTTACCCATTCATTTATCCTTACAACAACTATAAATTGTAGTATCGATATGTTCAATGTATTTTTCTTGGTTATAGTTTCAATTACAAAAGGATATTTGTGTCTTGATTCTCTAATTGGAAAGTTTTATATTACTCTTCATGTTAATTTTCATGAAATACAATTTCTCTTTACTAAACCTTCTATTCCAAACATTGATGCCTCAACAACAACTTTCACTCCAACAATTATAACTTCCTCTACTTCTTCACCTTCCTGTTCTACTGGAAACCATGAATCACCACCATCCTTTTTACCTTTCACGAGTGACAGTTCACATTCTGTGAGTAGTTCTGGGACTACTTCTGCCTCCAGTACCTACCTAAGTTGTTTCACAAGGCTCCACCTTCCTTTTATCCTCCAGCTCCAAGCATGACAACACGAATGATATGTGGTATCACAAAAAAAAAAAAAAACCATTTTTGATCTCTTTGCTATAAGGTCTTAGAACCTTACATTCTCAAACAAGCTCTTAAATATCCAAATTGCACTCAAGCTATGGATCTAGAGATTACAATGCTTTATCAAAATCATACTTAGGATCTTATTGACCATCCTTCAACTATCAATATAATAGGTTGTAAGTGGGTGTAAAAGCTAAAACACAAGCTAGATGGAAGCATAAAAAGATATAAAGTCAGGCATGTGGCTAAAGGATATAATCAAACTTACGGTCTTGATTATTTTGAGACTTTTAGTCCAGTTGTTAAAGCTACAACTATTAAAATCATATTAACTATTGCTCTCAGTTTTAAGTGGGAACTGCACCAATTTGATGTTCATAATGTGTTTCTAAATGGTGAACTAAAAGAGCAAGTATACATAACTTAACCTACTGGATATGTGGACACTACATTCCCCACCAAAGTGTGTAGACTGAAAAAGACTTTATATGACCTGAAACAAACACCACGAACTTGGTTACAACGACTTAGTTCTGCTCTTCTACAATGGGGTTTTAGCAATTCTAAGACTGATAGTTCTTATCTATGTTGATGATGTAATCATCATTGGTAGTTCATTACCACAGATTTCTTCACTCATTGCTAAGATTGATTATGGTTTTACCTTAAGAGATTTGGGGCAGCTATTCTACTTTCTAGGTATAAAGGTTTCTTATCATGAATATTCTATAAATTTTTTAAAAAAATTCTATGAATTTAAGAAATATGTTTATGATATGTTACATAGAACTGTCATGTTTGATACCAAACCAACAAAAACTCTTAATGCTGTTAAACAGAATTTATCTAAATTTGATCGTGATCCTATAGAAGAGGTTACTCAATATCGAAGGCTACAGACTGATCGTTACTATTATTTGATTCCACTAAGAGTGTTACTCCATATCCAAGGCTACAAACTGATCGTTACTATTATTTGATTCCACTATAGTCAAGCTTTCACATGTTTTTCAGTTTTACATCTAGAAATCATTTGTTTGAAATTACTTGAGTTAGATGGTAAGTGCATCCATTGATGATGGAACTTTCTTTCTTTTAACAAAGAGGCTAACCTGTAGGTTCATGAAAAAATCTCATCGACCTATTTGAGGTCAAAAGAACTCTTGCATGATCACATCTATTTACGTCAAACTGGGAAATCTATTCAACCAGTATTCTGTTTTTTTTTTTTTTTTTTGGAATTATGTTTGTGCGTATTCATCATTATCTTCTTATTTTTATGTCGTTTGTGCGCATTCATCATTATCTTCTTATTTTTATGTCGAATAAACAAATCTGAAACTGGGGCTGATGGGTTTTATGACCGTTTGTTGACATGGACATACTACATCGAGGTTTGTGCTATCATGACATCAGCCTTCGTTTCTTTTGCAGGACATCTTGATAGCACATGAATCTGCAATGTCAGAGGGTGTTTAGCATGAGATGACCATTCATACCAGCTCAAATTATTTGCTATGCACAGAAAAGTATGCTGCTATATAGTATGTACACTGTTTTCAAGACAAATTAATAACAAAGATGGCGTCTTGTAATGTAGATATATTCTATTGGTTTTGGCTAAATAGAAGATGGAGGATAGCACGAGACAGTATATGCTGTGCTCAGTCTCTCCAAATTCCTTATAGCACAAATACAGATTAAAAGGAACATGTAGCATTGGAAGATTTTCGTTGTTGATCAATTTTGACAATTACTTTCAAGTACAAGGACCAATTTCTGCTTTTCAATTCATCATGCAAGACTCTACAATTGGCACAGATGAGGTTAACCCCAAGTCATTAGCATGCTGTGATGTTTTTCAACCTGGGGTTCAGCAATGCCTGGAGTATGAAAATGAAACTTAAGATCCTCGTTCTTCAAAGATCAACAAACAGAGTGCTTAAATAAAAGCACAACAAATTAACTTATCAACATGAACAGCTATAATAACACTTCACACTAAAGTTTACAAAGCTTACGATCATTTTCCCCAGTCACACAGCAATATAAATGCAAGTGGACAAATGTTCAAGCACAGAAACTTCCAAAAATCTAAATCCTCTGTTACTCGGAAGGAATTGTAATCATTTCTCAAACTACTGTTACCAATCATCCTCATCTTCCAGCTTTGCTCTGCAACCTGCCAATGTGGGTCTAGTTCAAAATACAGGACTACGATTGGTAATCATAAATTACTTCGCAATTGTATCTCAAATCGCTATCCAAAAATATCTCGATAGTACTTTAGTTTTAGTTCTATATCCTTCAAGACTGTACTAATTGTGCACAATAATTAATACTAGTTAGTTACTGTTTTTTAATGCTTAATCGCAAGGTATAAAAGCATTATGAAAATCAGAAACAACTTTACAATCATTAGATTTTCGCTTTGGAATCATCTTTTAAATCTTCCCAGGTTATCATGAGAATATTATGATTGGTAAGTCTTAAAACATTAGTACCAGAAACAATGATTTGATAATTGCTGATTCAAGGCTTCTTTCTTTCAAACATCTACCGTCACCAATTATGAAATGTGCATTAGAAAGTCCCAGCAAAGTGACAGTTCCAGCAATAAGTAAAATGTAAGAAGTGGGAAATGGGAGTCATCTGAAAACAAAAGGCTATAAGGTACCTGTACATCACATATTCCCAAGATATAGGGCACCTGGTGCATCTCTCATGCTCATATTCAGACTGTTTCGCATAGTTCGTCTACCAATTCCTGCATTGCCTTTTTGCATCATGGCAACAAATTCACCATAGTCAATTCTTCCATCCTGAAACAACACGTAACACCAAATCAATAAAGTTTGGTAGCAAGCAAACAGGTGAGGGAATTCAAATAACTGAATCTGTTTGCCAACCCCCACTGTATATAAATGTAGATGACTTACATTATCTTGATCAACTTCTTTGATTATGTCTTCAAGTAAAACATCAGTCATGTTATGCTCAGCACAAGCTTGTTGAAGCTCATCGACTGTAATATAACCGCTTCCATCCTTGTCAAAATATTGGAATGCTGCAACAAGATGTTCCTCACGCTCTAATTTGTTAAGATGAACTGTAGCAGCTACAAATTCTCCATAGTCGATTGTTCCACTGTTGTCCACATCAGCCTGAAATTGACAAAAATAACTAATCAGCTGATTAGAAGATAACATAATAAATAAGAAAAACATATGCAAAAAATGAGGAAAAAATAAGAGTATGTAAATGGAGAAAAGGAGATGTGACTGGGAAAAACAATGGAATAGAGAAGTACAAAAATGTACAGAAACAACCAGATATCTGGATATCTGCTTTGACATAAACATCTTACCGCATCCATAAGGTCACGTATCTCTGTATCCTTCAAGGTAGAGCCATATCTTCGCAAACCAGCTTTAAGTTCATCAAATGTGATTGCACCACTGTTATCAGTGTCCATAGCCATGAACATTTCTTTCAAACCAGCAATTTCCTCTTCAGAAAGGCTCTCAGCTATTACCTGATAATGTGAAACAAGTACAAGTCATCAGAATGTATATGGTATAAAGAGTTGAATCTAAGACATGACAAACTGTCAATCAATCCTCTAGCTTCAGAAGTAGCAAAGTAAGCAACGTCAAGTGAGTATGCTTTCCAGTTAAAATGATAGACTGCCCACAGGTGCAAGAGAGTAACTGGGAAACAAGCAAAAACTATACGAGGACTAGAGATACGGGTGTGTAACCAGTGCCTTCATCTGTATTTTCCAAGTGATTAAGTATTCTCCATGAAGTGTGCCCACTATTATCTAGAATGCTAAAAAATATGTCGCATATGAACATGCACATGCCCTTACCCGTAAAGCCATCTTCTTTAATTTATTCATTGCAGAGAACTGCTTGAGACGAGAAAGTACAGCGGGATCCAGCGCTCTATCAGGAGCAACTCCATTTTCACATATCCAAGGATGACCTGGTAAAGCAAACATATGTCAGTTTGACCTAGAGGTCAGCTGAAAATCAAATAATGTACGACTACAGCAAGCTATGCATATTAGGAAATTGCACAATCGCATATTGATTTTGGATCCAAATCCAAAAATTGCAGACTCTAGATAATTAAGTTTACTAGCAAGCCTACTTCAGGGCAGTGAGTTCCAAAGCAACAGTGAATTGAAGATCAGCAATGCACAAACTAATGTGGGAATTCAAGGACAACATGATGTTTTACATTCAGGCATCGTGCAACCTAAATTGATTGACCCAAGGGGAACCCAAAAGGAAAGTCATAAGTTTTTTTAGCACTGTAAACACAGTGATGGCTATGTAGACTACAAATCCTGCTATCTGGTATTTGGGTTGCTTTACCAAAAAACACAGAAAACAAAATCCAAATTGATATAGCAGCCCACCCAATTATCATTCATATAACTCAAGAAACTATTGAAAGGTCAGACATACACAGCACTTCATGAGCTGTCAAACGCTCTGAAGGTGAAGAGCAAAGCATCTTCCGGATGAGATCTTTGGCACTGTCTGATATTAGGGGCCACGGGTCGGAGTCAAAGTCGATATAACCCTTCAACACAGCATCAAATATTCCTTGTTGTGTTTCTGAAATCCAAACAGAACTTTTCAGTAAATTGCACAAAGAATAAAAAAGCTTAAGCTTTTATAGCAGTATTCCAAAGAACACCAACCTGCCCAAAATGGTGGCACTCCACTTAGCAATATATACAATATGACCCCAGCTGTCCACACATCTGCTTCTGGCCCGTAGTGCTTGAGGAGCACCTCTGGAGCAACATAATATGGGCTTCCAACCACATCAGTGAAAATTTGACCTGTAATAGCCAACCATATATAAGCATCAATACTCAAGATTACATTGTTATACCATGTATTGAAAGGTTTCGTGAATGCTACACGTTACTATATCTCCAGAGTTTGCTTTGAGGTCTTTAGAGAAGAAAAGTGTTTCATAAGTTTGCTACACTTGTCAAGCAATTATAGGTATGCATAGAAAAAGCTTTAATTATTTAAATTCATTCTAACAAAATGAATACCATCAAGCATAAGAGAAGGTACAGAATTTAAGATGTGTAAAGTTATTAATCAGTAAAACATGTAATCTAATTGGTAAAAACATTTCATAAAAAAATAGATGGATGAAGTAACATTCATATTTTAATATCTTGATTTTTTTTTTTTTTTACAAACATCTTTAGTATCTAGATATGCTGATAATTCAACAAAATGCAAACGATGTGTTGTGTACCTGGTTTGAAGAACACAGAGAGTCCAAAATCAATAGCTTTAAGCGAGAAATCATCATCCTTATTCACCAACAAGAAGTTCTCTGGCTTTAAATCTCTATGCATAACCCCTAGCGAGTGACACGCCTCCACAACCCCCACAATAATCTTAGTCAACTCGGCTGCCTTCCTCTCGCTGTAATGCCCCCTTTGGATGATCCTATCAAACAACTCTCCTCCTGAGCAAAGCTCCATTACAATATGAACATACAATGGATCCTCGTAGGCACCCTTAATGGTCACAATATTCTTGTGACCTGCCAAGTGGTGCATTATCTGAATCTCTCTCCTAACGTCCTCAACGTCCTCCTTGGAAATTAACTTTCTTTTGCATATAGACTTGCAAGCATACTCAATCTCCGTAAGAATCTCAGTGCATAAATAAGTAGTGCCAAATTGTCCTTGTCCTAATTTACGACCTAAAGTGTAAAGATCACGAATGTTTGGAGTTTTATGGCCTAAAACATAATAAGCCTGGTTATCAACACTGCGCCTCATTATTGTATCTTTCTTGGTAGGGCTAATGAGAGGTAAATTGCTGTCCTTTTGGGGGGTGAGTTCTTGGGAGGTTAGACTTGAACAGGAATGCTCAGAATTGGAGTGATCAGAGGAGGCGTGGCGCTTGGAATTGGAGGCAGTGGCGGTCGATTGCTCGTCGGGCTGATCGTAGCCCTGATGAAGTATTCCCTTGAAAGATCCACGGCATGTATTGCCCATGGAACAACCACAATTCCCTTTAATCACTTCACCACCTTGTCCTCATCTAATGAAGTCTCATCAATTACACTGCAAGAACGAATTTTACATCATAATTAAAAACAAAAATCCAAATTTGGAAACTTGTGCATATAATCTATACATGCGTTTTTATGTGCATAAACAAGCAGACAAATCTAATCCAAGATTAGAAAGCATTTAACATCAGATCAAGCCTACTGTTCAGTTTGTTTCGTCCGAAAATGAATACCCTCTTCATTTTCCGATGAAGGGAGCGAAAAAAACCCAACAAAACGAAAGCTTTTGCATCAAAATACATAAAAAAAAGGATGATAACTTACCGGTCAAAACCCAACAAGAACAAGTCTTTACAACAGAATACCATCACAAATTACAAAAGTAGAAAAACCCAACAAGGAAAAGAAGCCATTTAAAGAAAGTGACAGGATTCAAGCACAAGGAAAGACACGATAACTTAAGTAATTACCTATATAATGTCTTGAATTATACAAGGGAAAGAAAGGATGGATCTGAAGTGTAAGTAGGAGAAGGAAAAATGGAAGAAATGAGGAGAAACCAAGTTATAAAACATCACACGCCTGTGAAGTTGTTTGTTTATTAATATGATGTTGTGAATATTAAATGGGGTCTGCTGTTGTTGCTGAGAAACATCGGATTGGAGAGTGCTGACCAGCTAACATTTTTTTTCCCCTCTTATTTATTTATTTGTTTTTGTGGAAGACAGGGTACGGGGCTTTACATGTTGCCTTTGCCCTTGTTTTCCTTCTTTTTAACCTTTCCGTCAATCACTTCTACGAAACAACAGTTTTCTTTAATTTCCTCCATTTTTGTTTTTGTTTTTTTTCTTTTTTATAAGAGTAATAGTTATTGCTACCTCTCTGTCTCTCTCTCCCCCTCCCTTCCTATTATTACACGTTTTTATTCCAAGAAATGCTAACCAAGCAAAAGAGGGTTCCATCTTTGACCTCAGACATGACAATTCCAAGATGGGTTGTGTTTGAAGAGTAAATTTCGCTGGCTCCCTGAATAAACTTGATTGGTTCGTCATCACACGCGCTGTTAGAGATAGTCGGTCTCTATGACAACATGGATTTTTCTTGTTTCTATGGCAAAATATCGCAGCAACTATTAGTTTGAGGAGGATAAGTTTGGCTTTGTAAGATCTAATTTGAGACGCCCTCCTCGTGTTTCCTCCCAATTTTTTCTGTTAAAACTTTCACGCTACCATTTCTGGAAATCTTGAAAAAAGAATATATTGACTGTAACATCTTTATTCTTTATTAATTTGCCTCCCCATTATCCACAAAAGATATGACCATCTAATTGTACATCATTTCTGTTTTTTTTGGTACACCTTTCATCGTTGGATTCTGGGGGGGCATGCAATGGTGAGAACTTGGAACTAAGTAATGATCTGCTTGGAATTATCCACGCAGAGCTATTAATGTATTGAAGGTATCTACGAGTTGTCAGTGCCAGTACTTAGGATGGATCAGAGAGGAGCATGTGGAATTAGAATTGGCCTCCCTAACTGGCATCCATGATCACTCGAAAGCACCATCATTGATCTGTCAAATTAAAAGGGATTGTTAACCCAAGATCTGTCATCTGTTCTTCCCTGGGGCGGGTATGGACAGCATGCATGGCTGATTGACCACCAACCAATAGCCATCAAAAGGTCCATTAAGCAGAAAAGTAATGCTGTAGATTAGAAGATGGTCATCCAAGGAGGAGGCGATGGTGAATGGCACATTGCATCAGAGGTGGCTGAACTGACTACGTCAATCAAACAATCTTGATTGTCTGATTCTGTCTGGGTAGGGCACATCTGGTGCCAGCAAGGAAACAGCCCTAAACCCCAAAGCTAGAGGCATTCACGATCATGATTCTTCTGACATCATCATCCATCAACCACCTGCTCAATAGGACTTTGCACATGAGCTGAATTTGGATTTTTTTAGAGGAGAAGACTGTTCTATTTGGAAATGTATTCAAAAATATTTTATATTTTTTAAAAAATATTTTTTATTAATATTAGTATATTAAAATAATTCAAAAAATATTATAAAAAATAAAATAAATTTAATTTTTTAAAAAAATAATTTTGAAAAAAAAAACATTACCTCATTTAAACGAATTAGATTTGTGTGAATTGTAGGGAGGTGAGGTTAGTTTGGATTTTTTTTCCTTGAGGGCACAACTCATTCGAATAAGATCCACACCTCCCTCCTTGAATACATATCTTGTTAAACCGCATAAATGAATGAGCTTTGTTTGAGAATACTGTAGAAATTACTTTTTTAAAATATATCTTTATTTAAAAATATATTAAAATAATAATTTTTTTAATATTAAGAAATAAAAATACAAAAAAGGTAATTAATTTAAAACTGAAAAAATAAATATTTTTTTTTAAAAAGGTAAAACAATTTTCCCAAACCCTTGATTAAGACCATTACTTTGTTCATTGAAAGTCATAATTTAAAAAAAAAAGAAAAGGATGAGGGATTTAATTTTCAAAGAAAACAATTCAAAGCTACAAGTACTAGCTGAGTAAACATTGCATGGAAAAATATGTAGTTCACAATCAAGTATTTACTCACATTGCTATAAAAACCAAAATAAAAAAAAAAACAAAAAACTAAATCATGTCGAAAAAACAACATAACTTTCTTAAAAAGTTTAATAATTATATATTTGTATTATATATTTTGGAGACGTGAAGCAGTAATATATACAAAAGTATGTGCTACTATATATCTATTATTCAAGGAAAGTAAATCATACTATAAAAACTAATTACATTTATATCCTATAATCTCATTCAATCAATTAGAGAGATTTGTTTTCCTTCTTTATTCATTGTCTTTTAACAGATTTGCTTTCCTTTAACACTCTTCCTCAAGATAGAGCATGTATATCAATAGTGCCCAACTTGCTTAGATGTGTATGGAAAATAGGTGCACGTAGTGGCTTATTAAATAAGTCTGTTGCTTGCTCTCTTGTTTTGACATATGAGGTTTTGATCTCTTCCCTTTGAATTCTTTCACGGATAATGTGACAATCAATTTCAATATGTTTTGTACGTTCATGATACATGAGATTTATGGCTATGTGCAGAGTGACTTGATTATCACAGAATAATCATGTCGTTTAAGGATGTTCAACACATAAATCCCTTAATAAAAATCATAGCCAGCTCAACTCACAAGCAGCAATAGCTATAGATCGATATTCTGCCTCTGCGAATAACCGGGCAACTGTAATCTGCTTCTTGCTTTTCTATGACACCAATGATTTTCCAAGAAAGATACAATATCTAGTTACTGAGCAACGTGTTGTGGGGCATCGCGCTTAATCTGTATTACAGTAACTAATCAAATGGAGCTCATTGTGGGAAAGAAACATCAAACCTTGTCCAGGAGCCCCTTTGAGATATTAAAGAAGTTGATATGTCATATCAAGATGGTGTCATTGTGGATCTTGCATGAAATGGCTTAATGTGTTGACAATGTATGCAATTTTTGGTATTGTGATGGTCAAGTAAATTAATTTTCCAACTAGGCATCTATATCTTGCTGGCTCATGTAATGGGTTGCTACTTGCAGGTGTTAATACCAAAATCTGCCTCTATTGATATCTTTGTAAGTTTAGCATCAAGTAATCCAGCCTCCTCCAATATGTCCAGTGTATATTTTTGTTGGCAAATGGTGATTCTAGCTTATGACCATGGAACCTTAACTCCAAGAGAGCATTTCAGGGGTCAGAGATCTTTAATTCAAAATCTGCTACTAAGAAAACCTTTTAAGTTTTTAATTTTTTCTTTGTTATTACTTGTGATCACCATGTCATCAATATATAACAACACAATAGTAAGTGAAGTCCCTTTAACTTGAATGAATAAATAGTAGTCTGCCTTGGGATTGACAGAAATCGATGGTTTGTATTGTTGAAGAAAATTCTCTAAACCAACTTTTGGTGCCTATTTAAACCCATATAAAGATTTGTGAAGTCGAGAAACAATGTTCTCCCCCTATCGATGACAACCTGGAGGAGGCAACATGTAAACTTCCTTTTGGAGTTTGCCATAGAGAAAAGCATTTAAATATCCATTTGGTATAAAGACTAGTTGCAAACAGCAGCCACAACTAAGAGGTAACAAATAGTAAGGAGTTTGGCTACTAGGGCGAAGGTCTCTTTGTAATCAATGTCTTTGCGTTGGGTGAAACCAGTTGCAACAAAACAAGTTTTCTAACGTTCAAGAGTCCCATCAAAGCAATACTTAAGCTTGAACACCTATTTGCAGCCGATAAGTCATTATTCATATAGGAGAGGAACAAAACTCTAGGTATTGTTGTTTGAGAAAGCTTAGAGTTCAGCTTGCATGGTAGCGACCCAGTGGGGATTTTGACAGGCTTGTTCTTAAATAGCAAGTTCTACCAAGTGGGAGATATGAGCAAGAAAACATTGATATTGAGGGGACAAGCATGAATAGAAAACATACTGATGGAGTGGATGTCGTGTGCTAAACATGGACTGCGAGGATGTTGCCTTGGACAAGAGCAAAGTTGAGTGATAGGCCACGTAATCATTGAAATGAGTTGGTGGTTTAAAAGAACGGGTGGATTAGCATAGTGTAGCTTGGTAAGGGGAGTTGTCATTAAGTGTAGGTTCTAGTGAGGGTGTAGTGATGGTAAAAGGTAAGGTAATTTCAAGTGTATTGTTAGTTATGGTTGTGTCTGAGGTGCTTGTTATGACTAGAAGGAAAATGGGATCAGAGGGATCAATATTGTGTGGGGAGGGAAAGTCTGTGAGAAAAGGATCCAGATGACTAGAAGGAAAATAGGATCAGAGGGATCAATATTGTGTGGAGAGGGAAAGTCTGTGAGAAAAGGATCCAGAGTGGGAGTGGAAGATGGATAAACAAGTGGCAGGACATGTTGTGTAGCATGTGTGAGGGAGGTATAAGAAAAAATATGCTCATAGAAAATGACATCTTAGGAGGTGAAAAATTTATGTGATGAGATTATACAACTTATAACCCTTTTGGCCAATAAATAACCAAGAAAAACACAACGACGTCTATGTATATCAAACTTATTGACAAGTGTGAGGTTGGTAACATAACTAAGACATCCAAAAACATGTAAGTGTGTATAGATTGGTGGTGTTGTGCAAAAACTTGTATGGTGATTTATGAGAGAGCATTGGAGTGGGAAGGCGATTTATGAAGTAACAGGTAGTTTGGACACTTCCCCCTAAAATTTAAAAGGTAAATTGGCCTGAAATTGAAGAGCAAGACCATTATTTAAAAGATGCCTATATTTACATTCCACAACCTCCTTTTGTTGTGATGTGTAAGGACAAGAATATTGAAAAGAAGTCTCACACGAATCTAAATAAGAATGTATAAAAAGAAATTCACTACTATTATCTACACGAAGAATCTTAATGTCTTTTTGAAATTGTGTTTTAACCCAAGAGAAAAGGGATTTCAAAATTGATTGTGTGCCAGATTTGAATTTCATAAAATGCATCCAAATAAAATGAGTATAATCATCTACAATAGTAAGAAAATATTGTGCCTCAAAATGTGTTGGATGTCTGTGAGGTCCCTAATTATTACAATGAATTAAATCAAAAGGTGCAGATATTTTTATTTCACTACGATTAGAAGGTAAACTAGTGTACTTTGCTAAAGGACAAATATCACAAATATGTGTGGAATCAAATATGATTTCAACATTAGTTTTTTGCTAATAAAAGTAAAGGTGCAGATGACGAGTGCCTTAAACGTCGATACCATAAGTTATTGGTATGGTGAATGTGGTTGGCAAGATAAGGGTTTTGTCCTGGTGTAAGGTAGTAGAGGCCATCACAATGCTTGCCCAAGCCAATCATCCTCTTCGTGTCCATGTCCTACACAATACAAAAATTCGGATAAAATATTATCATACAATGTGAAGCTCTTGTTAATTTACTGACATACAATAAATTAACATGAAATGTTAGTACATAAAGAACTTTATCAAAAGATAGCTAATGTGATAATTTGATAGAACCAATGTTTCTTATTTTCATCTGTCCCCCATTTGGTAAACCAACAGATGCATGTTGAGCATTAATAATATTGTGCGTTAATAATGAATGTGATATATGATCAGTTGCTTCATTGTCAATAATCCAATAAAGAGTTGATTGTGAACCTGCTTGTGCTATTTTGTATTTTGGCGAGACACCTATTGCATTTATAGATGGCTATATATTACCACTATAGAGCATGGCTATAATTTGATTATACTCCTCGATAGTGAATGTAGGACTATCTGGAACTAAAGTGTTGTGCTTGGAATTTGTAGTAGTGTGAACAGCCCTTGTAGCAGAGTGAACAACCTCAGTATTATTAGCCATTGATCTCTTATTTCTCGGCTTCATATTCTTGCCATGCCATCTGTGTCATTCTGGAAACCCAATAATATAATAGCAATGGTCTACCAAGTGTCCATCTCTATCGTAGTAGTTGCATTTGAGTGGTTTACGTGAAGATATGTTTGTGTTTTGTTTATTAAATGACTGGAACGTTAGGTTTTGCCTTACCTACATTGCATGAGAATTCATCCCTATATCTCGATGAGTTGTTGCATCTATCTGCCGTTCATGTTGGAGAACAAGACCATGAATTCATCGTATGTTAGGGAATGGATTCATCATTAGGATTGACCCTCGTATTGTGGAGTAAGATTCATTCAATCCCATTAAGAATTGCATAACTCTTTCTTTCTCTTCCCGTTCAGTGAGTCCCTTTAAACCTGCACAAGTGCAGACAAATGGATCATGGAAGGATGCTAACTCATCCCATAAAGCTTTCATCTTGGTATAATGAGAGGAAATCAAGAGTTTCCCTTGATGATTTTCAATAATTTATTGTCGAATCTGATAAATTCTTGAGTCACTATTCTATGAAAAGCTTTCTTTGAGATCATTCCAAATTGCAATAGCAGATTTTATGTGTATAATACTGTTGGAAATGTCTGGATGGATAGAATTCATGATCCACAGTGTTACCATATCATTACATCTTTTCCAAGATGCATAGTTTTCATTCAAGGGTGATGGAGCTGTAATGGTTCCATTAATGAACACCGTTTTGTTCTTTTCACTGAGACCCATCACAGGGCATGACTCCATTGCCCATAATTGTTTCCATCAAGTGGCTTAGAAGCAAGAATAATTCCAGTATGGTCTGTATGATGTATCGCAAACGGGTCTAATAACTCCATGGAATGCTTGTTTATCTTCATACTTGCTTCTGTCATGGTGCTTGTAAGAGATTTGTGATTAATGCAAGGGGGTTGTGTATTTGAGGCTGTGTCTGTTATGGTGGCAAAAGCGTGATAGGTTACCAAAAGCGTTGCTCTGATACCATAAAAAGTTTGAGAATTATATATTTGTATTATATATTCTGGAGACATGAAGCAATAATATATACAAGAGTATGTGCTACTACAGATCTACTATTCAAGGAAAGTAGATCATATAATAAAAGCTGATTATGTTTATATTCTATAATCTCGTTCAATCAATCAGAGAGATTTGTTTTCCTTCTTCATTCACTGTCTTGTAACAAATTTGCTTTGCTTTAACAAACACTAAAACCAAATGACATGACATGTTTGGTACCATGTTTTTTCTTTAAAAAAACACCAACACTCTCTTACCTCTCTAGTATTCCCTGAACTTCCTCTTTCTGTGCACAAAGAAGCAGGACAAAAATCAAAAGCAAAGGGGGCAACGAAGATGAAGAAGTCTGTTTTTGAGAGGGGGTGGATAGAGTGGCTAGATCCAAGTACGTGGAAACAGGAAGGTAGGGACTGGTTTTTGATGGGGGAGTTAAGAGGGTGTAGGGGAGTCGATGAAAAAGAAAGAGTTGCTTCTGAGACGAGGGTGAAGAGGGTTGCAGATTCGAGAACAATGAAAAGGGAGGACGTACAAGCTGTTGAGAGCATATAAGAAAACAAACTTTCTTTTATTTTAATTTTAAGGATTTTGTTATCTGTATCAGAGTTTTTTTTTCCCTTCATTCGGCTAGTGATGTGAGTTCTCTTGGCTGCTCTTGTTTGTTGCTGCTTTTTAATTATAGCTTGATGAATTTATTCTAAGATGTATCATGTTTTTCATTATTATTGTAGTGTATGAGGTAAGATAAAGAAGAAAAATATATCAAGGTTAGACGAGGCTATCAATAATCAAGTGGATAGTATCCCAATTGAGACTCACTTGATCAAATACTTAGAGATTTCTCCACAGAGATGATGTCAAGGAGGATTGCATGGTTAGCTTCCTTATTTCTTTAGCATAAATTTGTCAATGCTATCTTCCATTACATAAAGAGTTAGTTTGGTTAGCTCTCTCATTTTTTTGTTTTTTGTTTTTTTCCTGCCCCTGGATTAAGATGACTATGAGGATTGCATGGTACGATTCTAAATATCCTTAAAGAGTTGTCTTGGGAAAAACTATGAAAAGAAAAGTCAATTGCAATTGTCGTTGTCTCAAAGTTGAAAAAAATGCACATTTGAAACTTTGTGTCTGAAAGCATTTTACTAATAGGATGAGAAGTTTGGATGGGGGCTTTTGTTGTGCATCTTTGGATTTATTTTCTTAGAACTTATTGGCGGAGGCTTGGTTCGACCAAGCCGCGGAGTAATGGAAAACACTTCACCGTAGATTCTATAGTTTTCTCATAAAAAAGGCTTCAAAGAACCTTCGATTTTTATTTTTATTTCTTAATTCAAGCATTGCGTAAACAGAGGGCTTATGATGTTTTTGCTTTTGACCCCCCCCCCCCAGATTCCAGTTATCGCATGCCTTTGTTTTTCTATTTGGATGTTTTCTTTTGTTAACAAATCGTTATCTTCTCTTGGTTTTTTGGGATCAAACAGGTCTTTTTGAATCGTTAAGAAAAATCTGTTTGATAATCGACCAAAAAAGGAGACGAAGTTTTTAGTTTAGAAATGCACGTTTAACCCTCGCGTGCTTTATCCACTAAGAACACTTGGAAATCAAAAAATATTTGCAGGTTACTTTGCATTTATTGTCAAGGCTTTCCTTCTAATGTTACTCTTGCTTTCTAGGACATCTGTAGCTGTAGCGGGTTCTGGTTATTTCCAAGAATTCATAGGTGCGGACCTCGCAATTTTTACTTTTATTTTCTTGCCATCTTGCAAACCAGAAAAAATTAGAATATCAGGATTGAGAGTTATAAACAAGTGCAAAAAAAAGGAAAAACATATTTTTTTCATTATTTTCCTCATGCGCCTTTCGATTTCCGGTTAACTACGATGTTCTGCGATGCATTGTTTAGCTACTCTATACAAACCAGACCTTTGTTCTTTGGATTTATATGGGATTACTTAATGTCTTGCCTTTTTTGGTATATATGATGCACTTCGCTGTGACAGAGTTCATGAAAACACATTCTTTTACACCTGTTGCGGCTGATCCGAGCATGTTTGGTGCTGAAACCAATCTCACTCATAAACAAGATACGTTGGGATTGGAGGATGCGAATTTCCAGTAGCCAAGAGAAAGAGAATTTCATCATATTCCCCAGCAGCGGTAACTGCATTTAAAATTGCCGAGAACCCGAGAGTTGATTGTAAGTGACCTGGCTGCTGCTTTTGTGTTGATAATATTGCCTTGAGTCTGATGTTGTTGTCTACCTATGGGTAATGATTTTTTTTTTTTTTTTTGTTGCAATGTCATGTCTTGAAACTGTCTCAGAAGGTTAAGAACAAGGAAATGGTTGCAGCCTATCGATTTTAAACATTTTTTTCTAAAAATATATTAAAAAAAGGTACTTGGTGATCTCTAAGCGATTTGCATCATTTGTTGAGTTTTAATTTTTTTAGTAAGTAAGCCTCATTAACGGGCTTCCGGTTTGGACAAGAAAAATTAGCCTCTGAGCTGTCTTTAACCCATGTTTTACAGTTCACAAAACTTACAGTGCACAGTTCTTTGATGGGCTATGTTGGACAGGCTTTGACCCTTGCGATCAGCCATTTGTGCAGCTCAGTTTCCTGGCTTTGATTTGAATGGTTGTTTCCGTCTTATGATTTTCTTTACGGTGTCATTCTCAATCTACCTCCAACCTTTTGAGATTGGATTAAGAATTGCTCCTACGCTTTTATATGCGCTCTGTGATTGCCTTTCAATATTAGCTTTCATTGGCTTTTCTGGTATGTAGTTTCTATTGTTGACTCATGCATAATACCAAAACAAAAGGAAATTATTGGATTTTTAGTTTTGTATATTTATATTTACAAAGTTAAATACAACTAAAGAAGTTGCTTCAACTTTAAGATAGGAACAAGAAAGGCATGCCTTGATTGCCTATCAGTGCCTGCTATGCCTAGATGACGTGCTGCTTCGCCTTGGTTTTGATAGCTAAACTTCCACATCCATTTCGCCTTCAATCTTTTGTATTCCGATCAACAGCTCCCTTAATAGAAATGGACATTATTTTTTCCATCCAGTTGATATACACTTCTTTAATCTCGACTTTTATGATTTTTTTGATAGCTAAACTTACACTTGTTTACGCTGTTCTTGGTCATCAGAACTAGTGGTCTCTGTGCATTGCAGGATGAATTAATCTTCATGACGGCTGCCAGTGGTTGCTAAGGAATTTTGTTGCTTCTTAGACTGTAAACTGTATAGATTTTTTTTGCTTTGTTTTTTTTTTCGTTAGAAACCAAGCTTTATTAAGTCTGTCTAGCATCAATTCTTGGTTTTGGTTTGTTACGACTTTTTATGCTTGCACTTGCCTATCCATAGTATGTAAAACTGCCGTTCCATAGAAATGGACGAATTCCTCCGCCGCTAATGTTTGTGCACAACATTTAGCTCTTTGTGATCTTTCGCCATGAATTTTAAATTATTTTCAATTTGATAAACTAGGATTCATCATAGATACAACAAACCCAGCCCACTGCAGAGCGCAAAGCAGCGAACCTAGTGACATACTAGCTTGTATCTGTTTGGAAACGAGGTTTTGTTTTATAGTGAAGATCATCATTTTAATGTTTTTAACAGAAGCCGAGCGAAACCAAACGGTGCCTACTCTATTGCGCGCTGGGATCATCCAAGACAAAACCAGTCAATATGTTCTTTGGAAACCAAATTGGCCTTTCAACTTTTATGCTGGGATTAAGAAAAGGAGACATCATCTGTGTGCATCTCCATCGGCAAATGTTGACAATTTAAGTACCTAAACCATCAAATACCACAAGTCGGGATGATTTATCTTTCACATCTGGGAAAAATGATTCAATGGGACTTCAGTTTCAGACTCTCCTGACTTCAAGATAACAGGGCGGTGTCTTCCTGATGTCTGGCAAGCCCTCCACAGGTAGGCCTGAAGTATTTTTCAAGGATATGTCAGCTAGAATGAACAATAGGAAAAATGTACGGGTGACAAGTGCGGGAATCATTCAAGATTACGAATCAACAAGCAGCCCGTATCCCAAAACACTTAACTGTTTAGAGCATGAGCTATTGCATATTGTAACAGGATATGTTGCAGAATGCAAAATGCTCTATTATGTCAGCTACTTTTGAAAAGGCCATTCAAGGTTATGTTCTTCGAGAAGTACAAATAAATAAGCAAAAGTTGCAGAATTGAATAGAGTTCTATGACCAGGAGTGAATAAGGTTTCAGAATCAGAATCCTAAATGAAACATGGGCAAAATAACAACACATAATCGGCAGGCAAACAAGGGACGAAATATAGGAATTAAATAATGAATGATTAAGAAATGGAAACAAAAGTGATTAAGCATGAAGAGGTAGCATACCCGTTAGGCCACCATAAAATCCTCGAGAACATGATCAGGAAGAGTTCCTCTATGCCGGTATGCGCTAAATGGAAAATCCTAATAATAGCTAGCAATACAAGCTCTATACTCCCCCTTTTTCAGAATGAAAAGCCTAATCGATTTCAGTTAAACGAATGAACTAAACCCCACCAAAACCCTGTGATGGTCGAACCTTCAATGCCCCCATCATGCTGTACAATCACTAAAATACAAGAGGGGTAAAAAAAAAAAAAGGCTAGCAAAGCGTTGATGATCAAGACAAGTTACAAAGAAAAGAAAGGAGACATTTCGGTAGAAAGAAAAGGAAAAATACACAACTAATTACCTTCATATTGACTTTCAAGACATCAAGAGGAGTGATAGCAAGGTGAGCAGTACCAGCACTGAGGATTCCTCCAACAGTGCAGAGTCCACAAAAGGCCGGTGAGAACTCCTCCACGAGACTACGCCGCCCTTTCATTTCCTTCATTCCTCTCATTGATCAGATTATTCTTTGGTTCTCTTTACTTATTTATTGAAAAAGAAGAGAGGGGAAGAGAAGAGAAGAGAAGAGAAGCCACATTTCTCTTCAAATTCGAAACCTTAAAACAAAAGGCAAAGACCCTTTTTATAGGTTTCTTGGATTGGAACCAAATGTCCCGTGAACTGTAGAAAAGCATAAACGAGACTTCTTTACGAGAGTTTAGGAGATTTTACGCCTCGTACGATGTCATATAACTATTTCCAAAACTAGTTTTTATTTAATTACATGATTATTATAATAAATATTGATGAGGGTTTAGGAGATTTAAATTCTATAAAAGAAAGTGTATTTTTTAAGTTGAAACTCTCATTCCTTATTTATGTTAGTTTTTTATGAGAAAAATATCTTCTTTTATATATTAACAACTTTGTTTTTTAATAAAAATTCAAGATAATTAAAATAAATATTTTCAGAAATTTCAGTAATTTAAATCAATGGGTGAAAAAACTTAATTTTGGAGACAAAACTCCCATTTTCTTGTTAATTTAGTTTTGGGATGAAAATATATATTTTTTATTTAATAATAGCATGTTTTTTTAAGAAAAACTCATCATGATGTAAAAAGCAAATTTCAGACAAGAAAGATTATGATTTTCATGTGGCTATATGAAATAATTAAAAACTACAAAGACTATTTAATTTCCATTTAATATTCATGTGTAGTTCTTTATATATAATTTATTATACACTAGGCTCATATAAAATTGTGAAAAAATGATTGTAAGTATGGGCATAAAAAATGAGTATGTTGATTGGAAAACAACTCTAAGATATTCTAAAAATCAAAATTACTCAATTTAACTAAAAATCAAAATAAATCCAAAACATCTTTGCAAATCTTGATCTATTTTTTTTTGACATAATTGATAGAAAAGCCACCATCAAAGCCACCATCATTGAATTCTTTAGGAATGTTCACAATTCAGTTAAATCTTGATCTATTTTTTTTTTGGCATAATTGATAGAAAAGCCACCATCATTGAATTCTTTAGGAATGTTCACAATTCAGTTCGGTTCAGTTTAGACTTAAAAAATCAACTGAACCGAATTACATTAATTTTATGAAATATTAACCAAACTGGACTCAAAACCGATTTGGTTAAACCCGGTTTTTTTAGAAAAAAACTAGAAAACTTAATCCCGTCATCTAGATTTTTCATATAGTAAGGAGAAAACACAAGTATAAAAAGAAAATAGATTTTATAGCATTTTTTTCATGAGAGGCACAGAGAAGTTCAAGATAAAAACTTCTTTGATGGAGCTAGATAAAGGATAATTATCTTTAATATCCAAAACAACTTCTCCATGGTTTCCATTGCTATTAGTCCCATCAATCTCATCCATTACCATGAATACTTATCATAAAAAAAAACAGCTAAGAATAAAAAGAGAGGAAAGATAAAAACAAAGAAAAGATACAAGTGACAAAGATGCATAAAGATATTGTCTTTGTAGGAGCTTTGTTCTTCTCCTATGAAATATACATAGTAAATACAAGCTATTATAAATTTTCAAGTTACAGAGGTTTATAAATATACAGGAGCAAGGAAGAGAAACAATTGTTAACTCCTATTTTTTTTAATTGAAGATCACCATACATCAATTTTCTTTAGATGTGTATGTAATGTTAAAAAATATGATCTTTGCATTGAAAGCTCATTCAACAACCCATTAGAAAGAAAAATTGGGAAACATGGAAAGAAAAATTGAAAATTAATTGAGAGTAGGATTGAGAATTTTTTTGTGTTAACTATTAGGGTTAGATTACAGTTTAATTATTTATACCTAAAAAATTTGTGTTATTTTTGGCTTTTAATGGTCCAGTTTGATTTGTGCCGATTTTTTATTTAAAATCGAAACCAAATCGGACCTGTTAAAATTTATAGTTTAACAATTAATGTTTCATTTCAGTTTTGTTTTTCGGTTAATTTTTCTTGGTTTATATCGATTTTCTCAATTAATCGGTTATTTTAAACACCCCTAAAATTCTTATATTTTCTCAATTAATAGGTTATTTTAAACACCCCTAAAATTCTTATCTAAAAAATGAACCAATTGATGTCAAGATTAGGGTTTTTTTTTATGATTAGAATGTAATCAACCATATTCTTTATCTCTCCTTGCTATCTTTTTGTTTATGGTTTTGCCTCCTGGTTCTCATGAGGGGATGAAAAGTAACATAAATGAAGTTCAAGGCTCAAAGCATAATACTCTAAAATCGCATGGACCAATCCGTAGCAAAACAAGAACCTTAAGGACCACAGTGAACTTTTGGTAATGACCGTTATGGCGACATGAACGATGCTTTCGTCTCTGTATATATACAGTGAAACCCTGCTGTTGATTGGTCTATTTTAGATAGATAGCTATGATTATAGGGAGATGAGATTATAAAAAACAACGCATATGACCAGCTATGTTGTGCTGTTAACTTGTAGACCACTGTGATATATATTCAAGATCTAATGATCATATATACTGGATATTGGCCTCTATTCAAGATCTACTAATGAGTGGAAGAAACCACTGACTCCCCCCGCCACCCCACTGGCCGTCATATGCTACGCGCGGCTCCTCATTATTCTCCCCTCTTGCCGCCCCCTCCTTCCATTTCCTTGCAGCGCCTTCTCAAGATTCGATTTTTTATTTTGAGAGAGTAGTTCGTACACCTTCTATCTCCTCTTGTTGATACTTCAATACACTACACTAATCGGTCTCATTGATAATTATCATACTAATTAATTAGTATAATGAGTTGAGAAATCTTATATTAAAATGATTAATGTATGTATTATCAATTTTATTTGCGCCGCACGATTCCATGCTTTCCTCTTTTCCTCCTGGGCTCTGGGACACCATTTGTTCTTTTCTTTCTTCGATGCTTGTAATCATCCCGTAGACGCTCTATGGCCCACCTGCCTCGAGCATCCTATTCCCCCCTTATGCCCATTCTTTTCAACTCTCTCTTTTATTTAGTCTGTGCTTGCTTCTATATGTATATATACCCTGTATAAAATATTTTTATTATTATTTCAAGTGCGTGTTGTGAGATGTACCGCTACTTTAAACTAGCGATTCTACTCGATTACATGAATAATTTATTATCTACACTCAACACTCAATAAGTTAATAATCTTGATTCTTAAAGTTTTAATAATATGTTGATTAAATAATACTTTTTTATGATTTTAAATATACAATTTATAGAAATTAAACTGTAATTCAAGAAAAATCCTAGAATTCAAAAACATACGGAATCTTTGACAGCAACAGGAGGATAATGGACGCGGTTGATGATGTACCTCATCATGGCCACGCAAGGTCCACGTCATCTAATGGCTCTACCCTTGTTTCCTGCTGGGCTTCATGATCTTTTCACCGTGTTTTCAAGAAAGTTTATTTTTTTAGTTTATAATGGATTTTTTATATTTTTAAATTATTTAGATATATTAATATTAAAAATAAATTTAAAAAAATAAAAAATACTATTCCAGTACATTTTCAAATAAAAAATAATTTGCCAACAATCTCTCACATTTTTTTCCCTCTGAAAAAGGGATATTGAACATCAATTGACCATTCCTCATCCGAAAAGGGGACATAGAACAACGATGTCGTATTCCCGAACTCTTGTTGAGGAGCGGTAGCTATCAATTAGCCACGGAGACTGACCAGCGAACAACTATTGGTTGCATCATAAATAAACTTATAAATCAACTTATATATAAATCGAGATTAAATTTACTCTTTCAAGCAATCTTAAAAATAAATTCTCAAAATAACCCTACTATATTAAGAAAAATAAATCATAAATCTGACTTGATAAATAAAAAGAAAAAACCAGGTTCTTCAATCATTCCACCTATCTCTTGAATTATGTAAATTTAATGTTAATATATCTAAACTAACTATCCATTAAATTACAGAATATAAACATGGATTAAACAAGAGAATGACCGGGACAATGATAAAAAAAAAATATTTTTTAAAATATTTTGATGACTGGGAAAATGATTAAAAAATATTTTTTAAAGTATTTTTTATTTAAAATAATATTTATATATTTTTTAAAAATTATTTTTAATATTAAAATGATAAAAAAAAAACAATAAAAAAAAAAGGCAGTACAACTGGCGTGGCAAACATGAACATTCAGCAAATGGTTCGATTTGATTGCACGTCAGAAGCTAATAAATCATACCCAGCTCCACTTTAATCGTGCATGTAAAGGTAGCGGGTCCCATGCTCAAATAATTGATGACACGTGGCACAAAAATTGTTGGCTCATCGCAGCGGTTACTTGTGTTTCTTCTTTTTTTTTTCAAAAAATTTTTAATTGTTTAATTTTAATTTTTTTATATTTTTAAAACATTTTCAGACGTTGATATAAAAAATATTTTTTAAAAAATTTTTATAATATTTTCAAACGCTGATATTAAAAAAAATTAAAAAAATATTTTAATATATTTACAAGTAAAAAAATACTTTTAAAAATAACCTCAACTACACTTTTATAAATAATTAATCAAATATTATTTAATACATTTATAAAGTAAAAAAATACTTTTAAAAATAACCTCAACTACACTTTTATAAATAATTAATCAAATATTTTCTATATTTTTTTATTATATACAAGCATTAACAATAATTTTTACTAAATACATATCTAAATTCAATTATTCATTCCAAACCATATTTTTCGTAACCCCATAAAAATTACCTAAAAGATGAACATCCTCTTATTCCCTCTCACGAGATTGCCACGGTGCACCGAGGAGCGAGAACTGATAGCTACGAGTTGTACAGTCCGCGTCTTGTGCTTTTCCTTCCTACTTTCCCTATCTTTTACGGGCCGTGGCGGACCGTGACCGTGACCGTGACCGTGACCGGGGCATTATTACAATCATTCATCCTTCCCTCTCGTTCTTAGTTATTACAATCACAACCAGAGACGAGCAAGATAGGGCAAAAGGGCACTCGAAACGATCTCTTATATCTTTAAATAATCGGGGTTTCCCAGCTGGATGTTTTTGTTAAGGTTACTGGATAAAAAAAGGATGAAATTTGACAGAGAGAATTGCTTGTGGGAGTAGGGCATGCTGAGGTATTTTTCACAGCCTTGCAAGGCCAGGCCAGATCAGAGCAGGCCACCATTTCGATTTTCCACCTGTCCAGGTATTATATTATGTCATTGTAAACTTTCCTTAAGAATATTTCTTAAAGAAATTGACAGCTCCAGCTCTGACTCAAATTTCAATAGCTCTTGTCTCTTTGGGAAGACAGAGGGTGCTGCAACCCTTAATTGCCAATGTCACATGGTTAACCAAGGAAAGGAAATTTGACACAATCCGTGTCTTTGCTTGCTTAAATTACTGGTTAGACACCAAGTTGTTTGTCAGGACACACCACAAGATTCCAATCTCCACAGTGCAGACTTGCATATTGGATCTTGGACTGATCCTTTTTAGCCCCCTCTACTCTACTCTCTCTCTCTCTCTCTTTACAGTTATCTTTCAGGAGAATCTTCTCAATTGGTGATTTCCCTTCATAAAGTCTCGAGCTTTATTTTTTCTTGATTCTTTGTAAAATATAAAAATAGGTACCCTTCTTTTGCTGAGGTGACGCAAATAAGGGTCCAACAGCAATCCGAGGAAGGTGGTGACGTGCGGGGCAAATCGAGGCGCATAAGGGGCAGGTGTCCTGGCTCAAAAGACCTTTCCTTTGCTTCTCTTTTGCCGGAATTCTTCTCCTTTTTTACTTCCTCATCTGCCCACCTAAAGAAAGATATTTCCTTTTTCTCTATTCGCACCTCATTGTCCTGAATTATTATAATAATAAAAATAAAAATAAAAATAAAAAACCCTCATCACCAAGGACAACCCTCTTGACGCCAAGACATTGCAATTTGCAGAGATTATGATGGCCTTTTCTGCATCCGGCGATACCTGAAAGGACCCATCTAACGGTTCTGCTTCTTTTGCTTCGTCACCTAGGTAATTTTAAAAAAAATCACTTGTTTTGTTTTCGTGTTAGATTTGGACATCTGCGTTTGCATTGTTTTCTGTTTTTCTTTTTTTATATCTACAATCTTTTGTTTTGTTCCATATTGTTGGTTGGTTAGTTTGACAGTGTTGATCCATTGGGCTGTTTCTCTACCCAATATAGATCTGCGTACCTCATAAGAGAATCGAACTCTTGTAATAACATTTTTTTTCTTTTCGAATTGGGAGAGCGATAAAGTTTTCCACCATTTGATCTGTGATTTTTGGGATCTTCTCTATCAGAGTGTACGGTTTGTGGTTAGAGTTTAGAAGAAACCTTGGCTTCAGGAAAGATGAATGGAGCTGTGCTTGTAGCTGTTGCTGCTGCTATTGGCAACTTATTGCAAGGATGGGATAATGCAACCATCGCAGGTAGTTTTCCCTTTTGATAATTTATTTCCTAGTCAAGGCCTGAAATACTTCAAGGTTTCTTCACCTTTTGAAGGTGATTCTTTGCACAATAAACGATCACTTTCATGCATTAAGTTGTTTTTGTGATCGACTTATAGTAACTGAGATTTGCCTCATTCAATAGTTGATAATTGTACGTTGCTTGAATTGACTCACACACAGTGCTTTCTGTATTAGAACCATGTTTTTTTGGGCTATCGATTCTAAGCGATTTTTTTTTTTGTTTGCCGATGTAGGGGCTGTTTTATACATAAAAAGGGAATTTCATTTGGAAAGTGAACCTACTATTGAAGGATTAATCGTGGCTACATCACTTGTTGGAGCCACATTAATTACTACGTGTTCTGGACCCATATCTGATTGGCTAGGCCGCCGTCCTTTGTTGATAATCTCATCAATACTTTATTTTGTTAGTGGTCTTGTAATGTTATGGTCTCCCAATGTTTACGTTCTGCTTTTGGCAAGGCTTTTGGACGGATTTGGCATTGGTTTGGCAGTAACTCTTGTTCCAGTTTATATATCTGAGACGGCACCACCTGAAATAAGGGGGTTGTTGAATACCCTTCCCCAGTTCACTGGATCTGGTGGAATGTTTCTGTCATATTGCATGGTGTTCGGAATGTCCTTGATGGAGGCTCCAAGTTGGAGAGTGATGCTTGGAGTTCTTTTTATTCCCTCAATCATCTATTTTCTATTGACTGTATTTTTCTTGCCTGAGTCTCCAAGGTGGCTTGTAAGTAAAGGACGGATGCTTGAGGCCAAGAAGGTTCTGCAGAGGCTCCGTGGCAGAGAAGATGTTTCTGGTTAGCCCTTCTGCTTTGCCTCTTTGAAAGCTATCTGTTCCTTTTTTTCTGGTGATTCAAAATGTGATGTGCGTGAATTTTGAGTTTAGTATAATACCTTTTATTTTATTTTAATAGCACTATTGTTTTGATATGCCTAGTGATGGGTGATATGATGCACAAGGTAAAAGCTTTCGGGAAGACAATAGTATAGTTTTGGAAGTTTAGTTCATGCAGAAATTCTACCAGCAAAATAAAAAAGATTAAAACACATTTTGTGTATGAAAAGGTGCATGCATAGAATTTTTAATATGAAAGTTTGCTGTTTGATGTGGGGTGATTTTAGTTCTGAAATTTATGAATTTCCCTTCTGTCATGTACTTATGCTTCATGTTGAGGCAACCATTCTGTATTTGAATCATCACTCTCTTTGGCAGTTTGGGCTTCATATGTTTTGCTCTCACTAATGCTAAGTTGTTAGACTACTACCAACCACAATGTATATACGTGTTAATTTATTCAATTTGATTTTGCTTCATCTCACGTCTTATCTCTTCACCACTACCTTGCAATATAATGAAACTTGCTTATTCTTGTCCTCGATTAATGATATTTCTGAAATACAGGCCATATCATAAATTGAAAGAGGGGTCATGATTAAGTAAGCTTTCAGAGGCTTTCGTTTGATTTCACTAATTGTACAACAATTTGGCAAATGGCAGTGAGATTTCAGCTGAGAATTACATTTGTTACCTCCAGAGGGAAACTTTTATGCTTTTGGTATTCTATTGACCATAATTCAAGGGTGTGCTGATTCAACATATCATATAGAAACCTTGATAATCATTTTCAGGAAGGTTGTACAAAACTGCTTGGCCGTGATCTGTTCTATTCTCTCTACCATGTTTATTTTACAAAATATCAGTTTCTTCAAGTATAAAGTATTCAGTATCGAGTGAGCGGCATTCGATTTCATGGATCACATATCTGTACCTTGCCATATTGTAGCTGTTTATATAGAATTCTCTAGCTCCATATTCTTTCATAACTAATCATGTGTTAGTTATAGCTCTTAGGGTACATGAACGCACCATGCATACTCTTATGTTCTGCGCCTTGCAAAATGCTGAATGGTGTAAACTCTACTCTGTCTCACCACTTGTGGTGGGGGGATGCTCTTCCTATCTCTTTGTTGGGTCTTCCTCTCCCTTTCACTTGCCCGCCTTCCAAAACCATACCAAGCGACCCTGGCCAGTCATGCATTTCCTTCTATCAGAATTGAAGTAAAAGCATTATGTTTCTATTTCCTTTAGCATTTCTAAAGGAGTGTTTGAATTTACAGCTACTTAAGTAGATGGTTTGGTGACTGTAGTCAATTTAGTTCTTAGTAATTGTTTTCTCTTTGTTTCTTATGCAGTGATAATATTGCAGTGTTTCCTCTTACTTCTCTACTGTTCCTGCATAGAAGTTTGAGTATTCTGTCATGTTTGGTGGAAATGGTGTAAAATCACTCACTACATGACTTTAGGATGTTTATTTTCACAATTTGGAAGTAATGAATTATCATGTTGTTGACTAATCTTGTTTGGATGAACAGGTGAGCTGGCTTTACTGGTTGAGGGACTTGGAGTTGGGACTGACATATCAATAGAAGAGTACATAATTGGCCCTGCCAACGATTTCACAGATGACCATGATATAGCTGCCGACAAAGATCATATCAAGTTATATGGGCCTGAACAAGGTCACTCCTGGGTTGCCAGACCTGTCAGTGGGCGGAGTGCTATTGGTTTTGCATCTAGGCATGGAAGCATGGCAAACCAGAGTCTAGCTCTCATGGATCCTCTTGTCACCCTTTTTGGTAGTGTCCATGAGAAGCTCCCTGAACAAGGAAGCATGAGAAGCATGCTTTTCCCTCACTTTGGAAGCATGTTCAGTGTAGGAGGGAATCATCCTAGAAATGAAGATTGGGATGAGGAGAGCCAAGCCAGAGATGGTGAGGATTATGCATCTGATGGTGCTGCTGGTGATTCTGATGACAATTTGCAGAGTCCGTTGATCTCACGTCAGGCGACAAGCATGGACAAGGACATGGTCCCACCTGCCCATGGAAGCATGTCAAGCATGAGACACGGGAGTCTAATTACAGGAAATGCTGGAGATCCAGTTGGTAACACAGGGATTGGTGGTGGTTGGCAGCTGGCATGGAAATGGTCCGAGAGAGAAGGTCAAGATGGAAAGAAGGAAGGGGGCTTTAAGAGAATTTATTTGCATCAAGAGGGAGCCCCTGGTTCACGGCGTGGATCTCTGGTTTCTCTGACTGGTGCTGATGCCCATGCAGACAGTGAATACATCCAGGCTGCTGCTCTGGTGAGTCAATCAGCTCTTTATCCCAAGGAGCTTGTGAATGAGAATCCAGTTGGACCAGCTATGGTCCACCCATCTGAAACTGTAGCTAAAGGACCAAGCTGGAGAGATCTTTTTGAACCAGGAGTCAAGCATGCCTTGGCTGTTGGTGTGGGAATTCAAATACTTCAGCAGGTAAGAAATGGAGTCTACTGAGCTACTTGGTTTTTTTGTGATGAAGTTTATTTAGTGGCCTTCATTAGGTAGCACATTGATCTTGGCTCGTGTTCTATTTTCTTCAAGAGGGACACTTTCTAAACTTCAATAGTAGAAATTGCTTTAAACAGATGGATACACACGCTTTCCATCATTTTCTTCTTTCCCTTTTGACAACTACGCCTTAAAGTTTGAAGCATAGTGGATTTGTTAATGGAGACATTATACTGCTTTGAAGTTTTGTTTCACTTTTGTGTAAGTTGCTCCTGAATGTGTGCATATGCAGTTCGCAGGCATAAATGGGGTTCTCTACTATACTCCTCAAATTCTTGAGCAGGCAGGAGTTGGAGTTCTTCTTTCAAACTTGGGCCTCAGTTCAGCTTCTACATCTCTGCTTATCAGCGCCCTTACAACATTGTTGCTGATCCTTTGTATAGCTGTTGCCATGAGGCTCATGGATATCTCTGGGAGAAGGTAATTCCATTTCTTCATTTCCTCCCTGACTGTTTTCTCCCCAATCGTCTCTATATTCTTTTAAAATCCCCAAAATGTTTGTTGCAGTGAGGATCACTGATGTACAATGATGTGTGCATGGCTAGGCCCATAAAGTAATCTTTTCTTGATCTAACATGTTTTGATCGTATAATATTTAGGGGCTCAGGAAATGGGGGAAAATACAAGGTCTAATCATTGTTCGAATTCAATTTCATGCCTTTTAAATGAATAAAACTGTAACATACTAATGGAATTAAAAAAAGAAGCAATGATTCATGTGCATTTTCCCCGTGTTGTCCCTTGTTTTTGCCCACTATCCTTAGCGCTGTTGTGTTTTGCAGGACTTTGCTGCTCACCACCATACCCGTGTTGATCATATCCCTCATTTTGTTAGTCCTTGGAAGCTTGGTGGATATGGGCAGTGTTGTTAATGCATCAATCTCAACTGTTAGCGTTGTGCTCTACTTCTGTTTTTTCGTCATGGGTTTTGGGCCAATTCCCAACATATTATGTGCAGAGATCTTCCCTACTCGTGTTCGTGGCCTTTGCATAGCCATATGCGCCCTTACTTTCTGGATTTGCGACATCATTGTGACATATACACTCCCAGTTATGCTTAAATCTATCGGCCTTGCTGGTGTTTTTGGCTTATATGCAATCGTGTGCATCATATCATTTGTGTTTGTCTACTTGAAAGTTCCAGAGACCAAGGGCATGCCTCTGGAAGTGATTTCCGAGTTCTTTGCCGTTGGAGCAAAGCAGGCTGCAGCTGCTAAGGAAAACTGAATCCAAGCACCTATGGATAGAAAAAGTTTTGACAGTTGCTGTATTTGTTCTGTTATTTTTGTAGAAAAAGCACACCATCCATTTGCCCCTTCCTTTTGTGATTTTATTTTACATTACTGTAAGAGTTCTTTTTTCTACTCCATGCTGAAATGTTTGAATACGCCTCATGTCATGTTAGCTAAGAGTGGGGATGATCAATGATGTATGAGAAAATACAAGGAATAATTTTGGATTTGGAAGAGTTAAGCAAGGTCTTCTTATGCTTGGAGCATAAATAAACACAGCAACTGCATTTGTACCAGACTGACTGAAATTCAGTGTTCCAGAGAGAGAGAGCTTTGAAATAACCCCCAATATTCAGGCCATATATAGGAGAGCTCGTACTTCCAAATGCATTACCAAAACACTTGAAATGCAGGCTCGAAGGAATCATACTGGGAGTAAATGACAGACAAGAACCCAAAGTTACATGAGACCCAAAATAAACCAAAAACATTCCAAGTTCACTTGCATTAACACAGGACTAAAACAAAAGCCCTTTCCCCTACTTGCTTGCTTGGTGATTTGATATTTGCTGCTATTCAGACTTGTTATTTCACACCATATCAAATCAAAACCAACATTACTACATCATCAATCATCATCATCTAGGAACACTACCAACAAGTCTAGCACCAACTCTATCCAACCTCTTAACCGAAGCAACAGCGTTCAGATTGCCTTCTTTCCAAAAAGTCTCCACCATTCTCCCCCCAATCTCCACTCCTCTCTCCTCACTGTCCACCACTGCCACCGCTGTTGGCCCCGCCCCACTAATTGTACATCCAAAAGCTCCTGCCTCTAGAGCCGCCTTCTTAACCCCTTCCATCCCAGGAATCAAAGGAGCCCTTTTAGGCTCCACAATTTTATCACTTGACAATGCCTTTCCCAGTCCCACCAAATCCCCTTGCAACACTGAAGCCACAAAAGCCCCAGCTTGACTACAATTCCACACGTGGTGTGACATCCCTACTTCAGCAGGCAATGCAGCCCTCATTTTCTTAGTTGGGGCTTCAAAATCAGGACTAACAAGCACAAAGATCAAGTCCTTTTCAACGGGGAATTGTAAACTCATTAACTCTAATGGATCATAACTTCTAATCAAAACAAAACCACCCATTATTGCTGGTGCTATATTATCAGCATGGTAACCTGAAACTTTAGCTTCTGATTCCAATCCAGCCAAGACTAAATCTTTCACCTCCAATTTTCTTCCAAACAGCTCATTCACAGCCACAGCCGCCGCCGCAGCACTGGCAGCGCTGGACCCGAGTCCGGATCCTAAAGGAAGGCCCTTTTCGAGGGAAAGAGAGAGACCCACAGAGCGAATGTTGAGCATTTTCATGGTGGCGATAGCAGCGATGCCAGCACAGTTATAGAGTGGGTTTTTGGAGAGCTTTTTGGGGCCTGAAATATCGGAGATGGAGAGCTCGCCGGGGTGGACAGAGGGGTCGACACGAAGAGAGACGAAGTCGCCGAGGCCATCGACGGCGCATCCAAGGAAATCATAGCCAGGGCCAAGGTTGGCGACAGTAGCAGGCGCGAAGGATCTGACGGACGTGAAAACGGGCTCGGGTTCGGTGGTTGTGATGGTGGGCAGAGAGAAGTTACAGCGAAGGATGTCTGGTCTTTTGGGTTTAAGATTTGTTAATGGAGTTGCTGGGGTTATAGGTTTCAAAGTAGATGGAAAACAACATAGAGCCATTTTTTCGGTTGATAAAGGAAGGCTTTTTTCACTTTTTAGTGAGTAGAAAACGCAAGGGTTTTAGATTCCAGTCGTTTTTAAAGGGAGAGGGGTGAATTATTCATGAAGTCCATGTTTTTAAGGCTGTACATATTAGTTCCTCAACCTTCAAGCATACCAATCACGAGGAATACAGAGGAGAAGAATGCTGCTGGTTTCAGCATTTTCCATGCATGTATCATTAGCATCATCATAAGAGTATTTCCATTCATTCATATAACACAAGCTGCCTGCTCTTGTATTGATTACATATACAGACGATTGATTAGCAAGTTGAAATAACTGCAAGCTATAATCTATCTCATGTGAGAGAGTATGTAGTAACAAGTAGCTCCTTGACAAAACTATGGAGGATTAAGTGGCTACCTAGATATAGAAAGTCATGTAAATAAATTATCATATGACCAATTAATGCAGCCAAGTATCACCATTTTCTCTTTCCTGAGAAATGTCCCTTCGGATTCTTTCAGATCTAGTAACTGACATGCTTCCCTCCCCACTCCGATTTGATAATTCATCTTCTCTTTTTCTCTTGGACTTGCTCTTCTTCCATTGTTCCACCTTGTCATCAGCAAATGATAAGAATGTTTGAAGACGTTTGGAGCGAGAGCAGCTTCGGACAGAAGAATCGGATTCTTCAGGGAAGTGCCGGCTGAATTGGCGAAATGTGGTGCAAAAGTAGATCAAGAGAGCAAGTATACATGCAATCCCGCAAATAAGGAAAAGCCCCCAGAAGCTTTGTAACTGTAGCTGATCTGCACTCGACCCAATGTCCTGGGAACTGCAGAGCTTTCTTTGCAACCACTTGTTATGGATCTTCTGAAGTTCGCCGTTCTCAGATAGTTGGAGAATGGCATTAGACATATCAATGGCCAAGGGTGAATCTCTTGGAAATGCCTAAAAGAAACACAAAAAACATTAAGAAAGAAATGACCAGACCAAACAATTTCTTAAGAGGATTTTATACAATCATTTCTTTTCTACAGGCCTGGGCTGACACCATCTGAAGTTCCCTGACTTGTGTTTTTCTTTTCTGTACAAATTTATGTAACACCTGACACGCCATGATCGTTATCCAATCAAACATTTGTTGCCTCTGGGGGGTGGAGGAGAGGGGTATGCCTACGAAATTCTACTCATTCAGGCCTCTGGTTTTTTCCCCTTGTGCTCTTCTCAAGCTACTTAATTCTAACAACTTTCGAGCTATTAGTTTAGATAAGAATAACTTGGGTGCAAATCAACTTCATTTAGTAAATAAAGCAGAAAAAAGGAGTTGGATTAAGTATCTCCAAGTTCAGATACTCACAAATCCCCAACCACTTCTGGTGAACTCTTGACCTATTATTGAGAACTCACAGTGCTCTGAGAGGAAGAGGTCTACATAAGGTCGCTCATCAACCACGGCTGCAACAGTACCATTTTTAAGGGCATCCGCATATTCTTCTGGTGAACCAAGAGCAACAAGTCTAGTTTTAGCAATGCTGAGTTCTTCATTTAGATAATTTTCAGCGAAGGATCCTACTTGGAATCCAATTTGAACATTGCTAGTTATCAAGGAATCAATTCCTTTAATGGTGGAGGATAACTGTTGCACTGTGAGAATTGATGTCAGACTGGCAGTATAGCTTGAGTTGATTATCAAAACTACAAAAAGCCAGATTATCAGCACAAGGCGACCAAGTGTGCTCACAGTATTTTCTCCTGAAAATTCAAGAAAATTTGGAGTAGAATTATTGGCTAAGCTAGAAATAAAATATTCAGTGCAAATAATCCTTGTATAAAGGGTAGGTTTCCAATCCATATTTAAACGAGCTAATTTTATCCTTTCTAATTTATCATTTTATTAACCTTTTCTATTAAAATTAACATAATTAATAACATCTCAATACTAAACAAGCATTTGATGATATATAAAAATAAGAAGAATAGGGAGGACAAAGAGGTTTCAAAGAGATTGGTCCGTTCCCATGTGAGTTTTATTTTTTTTTGCAAAAAGTTATCTTTGTCATGTGCTTTAGACATCACTAACCATGTCCAATGGATTCATGAACATTTTTCAGTATAATATTAAGCCATATACATAATTGATTCAGTTAATTTAGACAAGAAAAATCAACATAAAAACTCATAATTGTTATATATATATTTGGATAAGGTGGGTATAAGAAGATATTAAAAACTCGTATAAATACAAACAGATCGAGCCATTCCCCAAAATTCTTGACATGAAGAGAGAAGTTAATTGATGACAAGTAGGGAAATAGAAAATGAACTTACTGTGGGAGAAAAACAAAGTGGAGAAGCTAAACCTGCAAGTTAAAAAAAGGACACGGAATTACAAAAGGGGCAGAATGTACAAGTTCGGAAGAACAAAGTGCAAAATATTCTCCACATTAATCGAAATATGATGTGAACTATAAGTGCACAGCAATTAAGTATCCATCATTTAGTACGTGGCCTGTGGGCCATGAACAAAAATCTTCAAAAGATGTCCTGCATGTTCCCTGTTCAGATAAGTTCATTGTAACCTGTGGAGTTCATCTACTTTCAGTTCTCAAATTAATCAAACATCAAAGAGAAAAAAGACCTTAATCCTCCATAGCCTCTGTAACATGTTCTGCAACCCTTAGAATTGAACCTAGGATCTCTAACCTCTACAATCTGACGAAATATATTACTTGGCCTGTCGGCCATCTGATTTAGACTATTTTCAAATAAAAACCGAACTTCCCTACTTGTCAATAGAGACAGTATATAAGTGTGAAACTGTATGGTGTGTTTGCAAAAGGAAATGGGAGTTGAAGGGGGCAAGGGATCAGTAACATCTGGTGAAAGTTAAAAGACTTCTGGCAGTCCTTAAAGCAGTCAAAAAAGGAATTAATCCATGTCTAACATGGCATCTACTCACCAGAGAATTGTGACAAGCTGTTTCCTAGGTGGCCCTCTGAATTCATCATTAATTCTATGCTCAAGGATCCATACAACAGCTCCCACAATAAGGAAAAACATTGCCGTGACAGCCCACATCAATGGACTAAAAGGCCGCAAGAATGCCCAAGCATTTGAATTTCGCTTCTTGACCGGAGCCACCACAACTAGCCCTGACTCTATGTATGGCTGAGTGAAATCAACAATCTTTGTCCGGTTGGTGACAATAGCAATATCACCGACAACAGCATCGAAGACCTGTGACAAACATTTTCATAGGATCAGTATAAGCTACATCATCTGATTTTTTTTCTGAGGGGCTGTACATTTACTCACCCTGGTTGTGATCTTGTAAACAAGATTGTAGTATGTCGGATTCTTACGACCATCTCCAAATGGAATGAACTTGTATGGAACAGCATATGGAAGCAATTTAATGGCAGCAAGAAATACATCTATGCAATATCCTTGGACCACGTCGGTGCCATTCACTTTTGAGATAAAATCCCGATAACTAACTCGGTCTGGGATTCCAATTTGTAATTCCTTTCCATTGTTTGGAAACACCCAGCCCCTTGGCCTAGCTGTTGTCCCCCCAGGCCATACCACACTCAGTAAATGTTGGCTTGAACTAGAACGGTTAGCTGCCTTTCCATAAAGTGTCTCTGGGGGCACAACAGATAGCCCAGAATAGTTTGACCAGTATCCAACCTGCTGATACCCAGTTTCTAATACATTAATGATATCATAAGAGGGATGTAAAATGGACCTGTCTGGATTAAATCGAAAAGGTCCTGTCAGACCTGTCATAGTTGTTTGCAATATATTTTTAAGCAATTGGCTTCCTCCATCAAATATGCTCAATGCACCAAGGTTCAAATATCCCCCTCCTATTCCACCTAATCTCGAATCATTGGTAAAAGAAATGGTGTTTCCCTGATCAAAAAACAATTTCAATGCACGTGCAAGTAACCAAACAGTATCATATGCATAGAGACCATAAGGATTTAGCCCAATAGAGCCATTACTCAGCTGGTTCCACCGTGACATGAAATCCTTTTTTCTTTTTGAATCTGGTGTATGTGGACGGAGTGCTAAAACTCCCTGGATTGAGTTGGCAGTGGTAAGAAGAGGTGAATCTGAATCTATAACAGTAGACAGCCAACTGGTAACTATCCAAACAAACCCATTCTCCATCATCCCAAGGGCCTTTGCAACATCAAAAACTAAGAGACCTGTTTTGCTGAAGGTATTCAACACAATTACTCGAGATTCCATCCGCAGAATCTTAGCTAACTCATCTTGAACATCGCTTCGGGTGGCTTTTGGTTCTGGAGGAAGTGCTGCTTTATAGGAAATTTTGCAACGCCTTTCCGCAAGTTTATCACCTAGTACAGTTATACCATTTCGGTTCTGATCATCATCACTGAAAATTGCAGTAACCTCAGACCAACCATAATAACTAACCATGTCTGCAATGGCAGTCATTTGAAACAAATCGTTGGGAGCTGTTTGAATAAAGTATGGGAATTGGAGAGGTGAAAGAGTGGGGTCTAGAGCAGTGAAAGACAAGAAAGGAACATGGAGCTCATTAGCAAGATGTGAGAGTACATGAGCCATCACAGCAGTTTGTGGACCAATAACAGCTACAGTATCAGTCTCCAGGAATTGCAAAGCTGCGATGGATGAAGAAAAACAATTTCTAAGTACTCGTATTTCACAAAGAAAACTAAACTTGCTAGAATTAAGAGAGAATTAAAGTGACACACTCAGCACGAACTAAAGAAAAACAAAATTAAGAACACGGAAATGAAGAATACCTCCAATGATTCCCAGAAATCCACTGAAGTTGGAATCATGCATATTTATAGACAACTTCCTTCCTCCAAGAAGGCTTGGATCAGAATTGATATCATCCTCAGCTGCCTCCATGGCAATCTTTGCGACTCTTCCATTGATGGAGCTAAATGTAAAAATAGCTCCAACATTCACAGTACCACCAGGGCTTAAAGCCCCTTGTGAAAAAGAACTGGTACAGAGAATCCAGAAGGACAAAAGCCAGGCCAGACTCATGGTGATGCTAAAAGATGAATCGAACCACCTAGCTTCCAAAACGTAACATTAGGAACTGTACACACCAAATCAAATTTATCAGTAATTAGAATTGCAATAAACTTGAATCTGCAATTGTAGTATCTTCAGTGGGAAGACATAGGGAACCAAGATTGAGCATAGCCAACCAAAATTCTATTTTATCAACAACAGGGAATAAGATGAAGAGGAATAAGGTCCTTGTCCAAGACAAGTGGTTTTACCCTGACAAAAAAAACAAAAAGAAAGTATTTTCTCAAAAGCAAAGGGACCCATAAGCATTAATAAAAACACTTTCATGGTGTTGCTAAGTTCGAATCATGTATCCAAAAGCACAAGAACAGCAGCAACCCATTTGAGATTTAAGGAAGAGGAATCAAAGAGCAGTTAAACAACTTATAAAAGCATGTAGTCCTTTTCCCCCTATAAGAAAACAAAATGTGTCCCGGTGCTGAAACAACAAACAGATACTTACTACAGCCCACCCTAGCCTTCAACTGGCCTCCGTCCTTGCTTACCAAGAGAGAGCCGGCATAAAGCAAAGAAAATATCTCTTATGATTTCAGCCCCTACAGATCACCATGAACATATCACACCTCTAGCTCAAACCAAAACCACTTTTCACAAAACATCATCAGTAGCTAAAGATGAAGAATAAATTTTCGGGGGGAAAAAAAACCCCAATTTGGCAAAGAAGAAAGTCTCGTTAATACATCAAAGAACTAAACATGAACAAAAACTGGAAGGAAAAAAGTAAAATTAAAAGGCACTACAGTAGGGTAGAAGGGGCCTCATAAGTGAAAAGCAACGTGGGTCCGTCGAGAAAAAGGAGCCACTTGCTGACATTGGTGGGTACCGGGACTGACCTTTAAAATAAAGCTATTTAAAACAGGGGAATACTTGATTATGGAGAAAGGGAACAACGTGGTACGTGGGGATAGCACTGCAAGGTGTGGGAGTGCAAGTTGAGAATATTTTTTCCTGAATTGTTTTTTTTATAATTAAAATAATTTTTTTTTTATAGTTTTGACATGAATTACTTAGCCTTTTTCTTGGTGACAAGTGACAACCCGTATGGAGACAACGGAGGAGACTATCATCACCGAATCCAAGAAGAAGAAGAAGAAGAAGAAGACATTGTGGTACTCAATGGGGGAAGCAATGATGGTGTTTTTAAACCATTGAAGTCGAATATTCTTCCACAATTCTGATTGGCTTTACCTCTACCTCTACCTCTACCTGTGCGGTGGCAGTTTGGATAGCCCTTCTTGTCCTTTCATGCTTGCAAATTTCTAGCTGGGCTATTTTTGTGCTCAAAACTTACATGCCATATTTTTCACGAGGACCACATTACATTATTTCAGTGGTGGTGCATTAATTAATATTATGCTAAAACGAATTGATCCTTTACTATTACGTCATCTATGGATGTAAAGATATTTTAAATGTAAATTATGGCAGTGTGCTGCTAGTTTTGCCCTTGATAAATTCAATAGCTTGATGTTTTTAGGTAGGGTTTGTCTAGGTTTTTCATTGCTTTCTTTCTTGAAAGCATGGTTAGACAAGGAAGCCTGGGCAAACAATCTTTTCTGCTATGAATCAGGGCTTTCTATGGGCATGTAAGGTAGGTATTCGAGTCTCTTCATCTCCTCGACTGTGAATGGCTTTATATGGGAATGCAAGGTTGGTATTCGCACCTCTTCGAGCCTCTTCATCTCCTCGGCTAGGAATGGCTTTGTTTTTGCTGGGCTGGGGTTTGTGTTTGTTGATCTTATCGGTTATAAATTGCTTTAATAGATGATTGGCTGAGAAAGCTATACCATATAATAAAAGGCATTGCTCTTTTACTATGTTGTCAAATATAGATGTAGAGACATTTTAACTTTGGAGTGTGGCAATGTATTATTGAATTTGTCTTTGATGAGTTCAATGGCTTGGTGTTGTTGGACAGGTACTCTCTAAGTTTTTCGTTGCATTTTTTCTTAGAAGCATGGTTAGGCACAGAAGTATGGGTAGACAATCTTTTCTACTATGAATGAGGGCTTCTTGTGGGCATGTTGTTGGGTTATTCAAGTAATCAAACACACATAAATATACGTGGTTCAATAACTTGTCTACTCTACGAAGCTACTGGTTTCAAATATACGTGGTTCAATAACTTGCCTACTCTACGAAGTTATTGGTTTATATTAATCACTCAAAAAACAATACAAACAAAGCAGGAGGAGGAAAAACTCTTAACTCAACTCAACTCTACTCACTCTAGCTCTCTTCTACTCTCTCTCGTTTCTCTATAAGTCTCAGCTCTTCAATGTGTCTAATTATAAACAAAATTGGGGGGCATAGAGCATAAATTATGGTATGATTTATGCCACCAATTAAGCCTCCATTATATGCTAAGTAAGAAATTAGGTATATCCATTTGTATATAATGAAGGTAGGACAATGTTTGTCTCCATTTTCTAACAATCTCTCACTTGGAGACAAACAATGAAATTATTATTTATCTTTGAAAACCAACTGAAGTTTTATACAACTTCAGTTTATCAAGTGTTACTCCTTTGATTAATATGTCAGCTGGATTTTTACTTCCACGGACCTTTTATAGCATTAGTTGCTAATTGTCTAGTAATTATCGGATGAAGTGATATTTGATCTGAATATGCTTAGTCCTGGAGTGAAATGCTGAATTCTTGGCAAGGAAGATTGCACTCTAACTGTCGCTATACAAAGTATCTGTCGCTATACAAAGTACCATTTCCATTCATCTTGTCCAATTCTTAATCACTATTAAGATAGGATATTGAAATTAGAAGAGAGAAAAATTACACTATATGGTAGTTGTAGCAGCGGCCGCAGTATTATCACCACCACCACCACTTCCTTCTCCACCGCCATTATTAGAGCCACCAGCAGCTGCCTCCACCAACACACTCGCTATGGCAACACCAATATTAGGCCTTTTTCGCTTCTTCTTCTCATAAGGAATCCCTCTAGCTTTAACTTGACTTTCTTGAACTTCCCTCAAATAAATCCAAAGAACTCTAGCCCCAAAAGGGTTTGATTCTAGCAGTCCACTATTTTTTTCATAAACAGCTCTAAGTCATCCAATTAGCGTATTAAGACTACCCCAAACCTGCTTTAGTGGACAATAACAAGATGCTAACGGGTTCGGGTGCCCAAAATAAGGACAACCTATTATGCGGACTTTAGTCTTACCAAAGTGATCCAAGTATTTCATTATTCCAGATTTGGTCATCATTCTTTTAATTTTTATCTTTAGTATGTTTTTTTTTCAATTTCATCCTTTATCATTTTATTATATGTATTTTATTTAGTCTTTATTTTGTTATTGCTATTTATTTTATTTTTATCATTTTTTTAATTCAATTTTGTTTTCAGTTTCATCCCTCAACATTAGAAATTGCAATTGAATCTAAACCCGATGGATATCGTGATGTGAACCTCATGATCATGTGGTCACGCAACCCACAACAAAGATGATCAATTCCCCAAGTAAGTTGAATAATCATGTTTGGTTGAACGATGACTCATAGTTAACGTGCAAGTAAAAACCAAAGATATTGGATGATTGTTAATGACGTCATAAGATCAGTTATACCTTGATAAGTCAAATTTACTCTTTGTTCCAACAAAGAACAATAAGTTTGCTCAAGCAAAACTGAATTTCTTTAATGTCTAAAGACTCCCCAAAGTTGCAGCAAAACAAAACACAATATAGTTCTAAAATAATAACTCTAATGGTCCTATATTAGGTTGCAAACTAATAAGCCTTAACTAAAACTCAACCAAGTACAAGTCTAATGCTTAAAACATGGATTTTGTGCCTTCTAATGCCTAAAACAAGCCTAAGTATGGATTTTGTGTCAAAACAAACCCAACAAAAATAAAAGCTCAAAAATTGAAATGTAATTATCTCAAATATTAACTAAAATAATAAATAAACTTAAGAAATATTTAGATTAATACAAGTTATCAAAATAGTTTCAAAATCATATCTCTTTGCATTGGATCCCTAATACCTGAATCTAAAACTTATAAATGAAAGTGTATCTCTTTTAGTCATCAATTAATCATTTCTTCTTGCTTGAAAGATATTGTCTTAAACGTTGAAGTTCCTTCCCTTTTTCAGTTGAAAGTATACCTTAAAAAATAGGTAGAAAAATGGTTAGAATATCTCTTTTAAATAGCCCAATATAATCTCTTTTTTGGATTAAAAAACCATGTAAAAAAATAACAACAAAAGAATCTCAAAGCCTTCTTGCCATCACATATATTCCATAATATGTGTGTGTGTGGAATTTTTACAAATTATGGATAATAGTTGCTTATATAAATGTCTTCTTGTTTGACATAGAGTCCTTGTAAAATAAGTAAGCCAATAGCTGACATGCATGCTTCTAAGAGCATTAAGAAACCTTTGTGCTGATTGGAATCCACGATACACAAGGAATCAATGTTTTTTTTAATTTTTTGTACATTCCTGGCATATTTCAATTCTAACTTCAAACATGTTATTCTTTCTTGTTCAGATGAATTAATAGGTCTATCATATATAGCTGAAAAGATATAAATATTTACTTTCCAACCTAATTAGAATCTTATCAAACTTCCTTTTATGGATCCAAATATATTCCAAATAGTAGATGAAAATCCAAACATATAGATTTGACACAATTCATCAAATAACTTCAAACCTTTTAAATAATCCCTTACCAAACTCCGATTTACTTGAAACTTTAGTCAAATATATAACATATCTAGAAGCTCCTATAAAACTTCCAACCCGATTTAATAGTTGAATTGAAAATTATAATTGATAATGTAAAACTAGACAATAAGAGATTTCACATCAAAATTTAAATTTGACCTTATATGTATCGTATCATGTTGTCTTAACCAGACCCGACCCATTCTTAATGAGTTAGTGTTTTTTGGATGGATAACTTTCACAATAAGTAGTGAATAGGATGTAGATATTATCAAAATATATTTAAAACTCGCCTAAACCTAACATAAAATGTATATTTATATTATACAAATATATTTGTAAAACATTTAGATTTTGTTAACTAAATATGATATATACATATCTTAATATTGACATAAAACACATGTATATGTATAATATTTATTATTTTATGGTTTAATAATTTGATACATACACTTCAATTTTATATATTAATTATTTTTTTATTTAATAATAAGTAGTTGTTAGGTAATAGATATATAATTTCATCCCTCAATCCCTTACTATTAGGTATGAAAATTTATTAGAACTCGATGGATACTGACCCAAATATGTCAATCTTTATTTTATGGTTGTCTTACCTAATAAGTAATGGATAGTGTATGGACATAATCAAAACCGACCCAAAACCCACCCGAACTTGACACAATATAGAAATATATTTACTAAAAATTTTCAATTTTTTAATGCAATATATATAAATATATATAATAATCAGATGATTGATTGTTATATGGATACCCAAAATCTGATTGATAGTATATAAAGATCTTAATTTTTTACCCAGTATGTGATGAGCAGGGTATGGATATCAAAAAATCCAACATGCATGCACTCATTGCCATTAATACTCAACACTTGATTTTGATTTATTTTTTTGTGAAATTTTATCTATTTTTTATTATTTTATTATTTTGATTTTTTTATTGTCTTTTTTTTAAAAAAATTAATCTCTCAACTATTTTGTGATTAAGATTTTAATTTATTTTTTTTTATCTATAATAGGATTAGTCTTAAACTCATTACTAGGGTCACGAGTTTCAAATATTAGCACGAATTAACAAAAAAAAAAATTATAGGTTTTTTATTGATTTTTTTTCCAATTTTATCATTTAAAATTTAATTTATTAAAAATTAATCTTCATTTTTTTTAATTTATACTTTAACATTAAATTATTTAAAAATTAAATTTTTAATTCACTTTCTATCACACTGTTGTCATGACCGGATCACAAATTTTGTCTACAACCCTGGGTATATTCAAGACAGCTTTTTAACCCTTTTCTTTGACATTATTTATTTATATTATCAAAATTACACGGGATTATTGACCCATGTCAGCAGTTTCGTTTTTTTTTCTTTCCTTCTTAAGACTAGAAAAAAAAACTTAGATAGCGCCCGACACCCAATGAGGAAACACCAGAGGCAAAATCTTAGAACTGGAAAGGTATTAGAAGCAGCATGAATTAAAATGCATCACGCCATCTCTTTCAAACAAACAAGTCAAAACCACATTTACAGTTGTTGATCACGTTACTTCGAAGAACCAAATGATTCACGAATTGTTCATTCATTGATATTTCAAGCAGACATTCTATAAAAATCAAGGGAATCTCTCATTCTTCAAGGGGAACAAAAGATCTTTTTATAGCATCTAGGATACAACGTTCATTCATGCCTAGCAAGGTAAACATGTCTCTTCATTAAATTACACAGCTTCGCAACAGTACATTACCAATGTTGACTTGCGAAGAGCAAATTATGTACCGCCTCTCAAAGGAAGTGACAAGATTTTCCAAAAAAAAAAAAAAATTAATACTGCTCTAGCATGGTGTTTTAGAAAAATGGGCATATGAGCCTCTAGAAATTCACTCTGACTAATCAAAAAAATGGATTGCTTAAAGCTGTCCACTCTATATCGACAACTCTAGATGTTCACTAATACACACCCTTCCAGAGAGGTGGTATGTTGGAACAGGAGGCAGAGGGCCTCAAGAAGACATTTATATGTTCAGTTCTCTATTAGATGACCATATTCCAAGCAATGCGCGGCATACCTCAGTCAAAAATCCTCTCTCCAGTTGAAAACAACAAAAACACGAAAGTACTAAAAATGCAGAGCAAACCAGGTATGACAAATACAGATCTCCAGCTTTCTGGACTAGAAAGATCTGAGTACGTGGTGGTAGCAGCTTCGAGAATTTTGCCAGTTAAATCAACCCCAATAATTCCAGCTAGAGTGCCAGCTGTGTTAGAAACCCCCATTACTATCCCTGCATATCTTGGAGCAATATCCATATGATTCACTGCAAACCCAGCTCTTCCCAGTGCCAAAAAGCCAAGCGCCACAGAAGAGCAGAAGACAGCCCCACTGGAAGTTCTAAAGATAGGAAGTGCTATCAAAGCAAGAGAAGCGACTAAAAATCCTACAGTGTTCAAGAACTTCCGGGTTCTCGTCACAGACAAAATTCTCTTTGTGATCAAGTGGTCAGCAACCACTCCGCCTATGTTTGAGAATATGAACATGTTGAAGTAAGGCATCATCTTTGAAGAACCCATTTCCTGAAGACTCAGCTGGAGGCCCTTCTCAAAGTATGTTGGCAGCCAGTTCATCAGCACATACAAAGCATAATGGAACGTAAAATTATTCACCACAATTGCCCAAATTGGTAAGCTGACAAAAATTCTCTTCCATGGAATTCTGGCTGTTCTAACAGCAGTTCCTCCGTTCTCCATTTTTGCCTTTTGACTAGCTTTGAGCGGCAGTAAAGATTCCCCAAAACCAGCAGCAGTGGCCTTTGGATGCTCAGAACGAGGAGGGTCGCTTGCAAATCGAAGCCATAGCACAGACCATGAAAGGCCTAATATTGCTTCAGCGAGAAAAACAGATTGAGGGCCCTTGAATTTCACCAGACTCGGAAGCACGAGCATCCCCATAGCTGCACCTAGGTACATTCCAGAAGTTGTAAGCGACACGGATCTAGACCTTTCATGGGGAGGAACCCATTGTGCCAGGACAGTGTGGATGGAGGGAAAGATGAACCCTTGTGCAACACCAACAAGCAAGCGGGCCACCACCAAGAGGACAACTCGATTAGGATCGAGCGGTATCAAAAAACAAGTGGATGACCACAAAAGAAAAGAGAGAAGGAGAACCTTCCTTCCCCCAAATTTCTGAGCAGCCCAGCCTCCAGGGACCTGAGAACAAGCATAACCATAATAGAAAGTAGAAAGTATAGTGCCTTTACTGGATTGGTTCACTCCAGCTGCATCCGCTGCAATGGTATACGCAATGGAGAAACCCACTCGTTCTATATAACAAACACAAGTGCAAGCGAAAGTCAAGATGACAATCCAATAACGTCTAGGGATGTTCCACCCCCTCATACTTCACCTTCACTCTCTACCCAGCAGAACGCTATTTAAGAATCCTGGCGGCAAGAAACATGGACAAAGATTGGCCCCAGTTGCACAAGTCTCACAAACCTGGAGCAAAACCATTGGAAAATGTCAGGAAAAGAAACGCAATAAAGAAGAAGAAGAAGAAGTCTAGATCAACTCGCAGAAGAGATTGTTAATGTCAAGAGGAAAGTGATTTGTAATAAGAATAATGGGAAATAATATAAAGAGAGGGGAGCATTATTCATAGTAAGAAGAAATGAAGCAGATGGGAAGAGAGCACTGGGGTGGGGGTCCACTATGATTCAAACACCCAAAAATACAAATCCAATGAAAGCCCGATTCATATCCAGAGAGCAATAAAGCAATTGCAAAAGAAAAGGAAAGGTAAAATAATCGTCATTCACATCTAAGAAATTCAATGGCGAAGTAGTTGAGATTGGGAATCCAAAGGGGGAGGGAATGAAAGAGAGACGGATCTCTCAAAGAAGGAGATGGATGGGTTAAAATCATGGTCAAGAACCCTAAAAGGAAAGGGGATTTAGATTTCTTACCTTGAGAGTAGGATTGGCAGTAAGCGAGGGGGGGGTTGAATGGTATGACACGACTGGAGCCAAAAACATCAAATGACGGGTGGGTGATGTGCAGCAAAAGCCAACCAATAATGGCAGTTGGTTAGAGAAGGGGGAGATGGAAATGTACGTAGAAGAAGCACCCGCACCCAAATTTTATTTATATGTGATTGATCTTTTCCCTAAACCCTGAATACAACCTGGCCAGCCCAGCCCTGCCCTGCGTCTTTCCTTTCCCTTGAGATTGATCATGAAACAAACACACAGTTTGACAGTCTGACTCTGTTGCTTCCCCCATTTTTTTTGTTTTTTAACTCCTCCCACCAACTACACGGACTCTCTCTCTCTCTCTCTCTATTAGTTGACTTTTCCCCTGATCCAGCACCGGTTCCACACCCCCTGTCCAAAACCTGACTAGATTGCTTGGAATTAGTGGTACCAAGTCCACATAGCATCAACGGTTTTGATTATACGAGCTTGTCTAGACTCTAGCCTTGCCTGCCGTCTATTTTTTTTTTAATTCACGTGAAGTGTTCAAACCAGCTTACACACCACGACTACTGTCGTTTATCTTTATTCCTTACCACCCTTTCAAATATTTCTACAATTACACTACTTTTTTTTTTTCTTTTTATTATATAAATAGAGGCTAGCTCTCAGAAATGATCGTGAGGGTATCTTTGGCATATAGTTCAAAAAAAAAAACACATTGTTAGTCAACAAGTACATTCTATCATCATAAACAAAGGGACTATCTTTCTTCTTCCTTCAACAAAGCCAGATACGCATCTTTTTCCAATTTTTTTTTAATTTTAAAAAAGGAAGAAATTCGCAAAAGCACATCGTGAGAAAAATACATTGACCCTCCAAGGATGCCAGCCATTCTTCTCCTTGTCATTGCGCAATGTATGGCTAATGGCTACAGCCTCGGTACAATTATAGCTCGTACCACTAAAATAAACTCTTCCCAGTAAACATCAATCAATCAATCACCTCATTTTAATATCTTCACAGATCCACCGCACTTGGTTTCCCACCCCCCCCCCCCCCCCCACCCGCCACTGGAGTCCCTACCTCTGCTTCACTTGAGACATCTTCAAGAAACCAGCACCACCGCTTCAAGAGTCAACACCATTCTTGTGGTTCTTTCCCTCGTAAAAGCTCCTCACCTACCCGTTGTCGTTTTGTGCAACATCCGTCCTTGTCTCCCGATGAGTTTAAGATAACGTTTTCAGGTTTCTTTCCCTTGCTTTCCTCCTCTTTAAAGCTCCATCCACTAAAATCAGACTCCGAAAACAACGAGGTTGGAATTGCTTTGTAGAACGCCACTGGGACCTGTTTCACCCTTCGTCTAATCTGCAATGCAGGCTCGCCAGGCGAGACACGAACATGAGCATCAATTATCAAATACAAAGGAACAAAAGAAAGAGTCCTTCCTATACATCAAGTGACATGCATGGAGATCAATCAACCTATTACAAGGAACAACAGCTAAAAAGCCCATCCCAGATTCCCGATGACCGAATGGAGTCAACAAATCAGCAAACACTGTCCCAAGTTACAGAACAAGAAGAAACCACTGAACAAATTTGACAGCAATCAGAATTTGCATTCAGGGATCAAATAGCTGTGTAAACACATGATCCACTACCCCCTCCCCAACATGAGAAAAATTCATGTTATTGTTGTTACTGTCCCATAGAGATGCAACGAAGCGAGGTTAAGATGGTCACTCTTCCTCCATAACATAAAGATACCTAATCTAAAATACTTGGATGTTAACAACATTCACCACAACATATTTCTAATGATAAACTGAGCCAAATGAGTCAAAATTGATCCCATTATTTGTTTGGAACTAGAATGACACAACACTGGTTATTTCATTTGCAGTCAAATCATACATCAATCGTAATAAATTTATGCTAATTAGAGGATAACTCAAAACATTACCTCCTCTCCAAATATGGTCGCATATGAGCCAGAACTAAAATCCTCAACATTAACTTCAGTGGTTTTGGCTCTGACTGTCAAGTCATTCTCAAGTGACTGGACAAACCTAATCATGCAACAAATCAGACATCAGGTGGCATAAAAGTACAGCACACTTTATGAACAAGCATCCAAGATGTATGCACACCTTGAAACAGGAGGGCAGTAGTGGTGACGAAGGCTATCAATTTCCCAAAGGGAGCTTCCTGTTTGAAAATTATTATTGTCAATACAAGGACAAAGTTATGCCCACCTTCAAAAACATACATGTGCAACACTTACCCAAGGCATGGGACTTTAAGGGGTTGCTTTCCTCATTATCAAAATGATCGATGCCAGCTTTTCTGCCTGCAATATTTGTGCTAGCTCCAAATTCATTTTCATTATCTCCCCCTTCTTCTTCGGAATTGTTGTCTGTAGTATCATTACTGTCTTCCTGAAAAAAAAAAAAAAAAAAAAAAAAAAAAAAAAAAAAAAAAAAAAAAAAAAAAAAAAAAAAAAAAAAAAAAAAAAAAAAAAAAAAAAAAAAAAAAAAAAAAAAAAAAAAAAAAAAAAAAAAAAAAAAAAAAAAAAAAAAAAACCATAAATACACATGACATGCTTGACAATTCTTCTCCAATAAAACCATACAGAGACATCATCTCTTACAGTAAATGAATAAAAGGTAAAGACATCTTTCTATGCTCTCCAGACAATCACCCTGATAAAGTGATAATGAAGGTAGATTCCAGAAAATTTATAATAAAAAAATTATGAGGTGCATGCAACTGTTAATCGAATGCAGAAGACATGCCATCCCGCTCAAACAAATAACTGATAAATCAGCAAAAACAGTCTTCATGAAAATATTAGAATGTATGGGTACCTGGTGCACCAAACAGTTGATTGAAGGATGTCTCCTGAGGAGGTTGTGAATCAATGCTATAATAACCAATGCTCCAGAAGGAGGGACTACAAGTGCCAGTCTACTCAATTTCTTAGCAAAAGCAGCAGCCAGATATGCTGGGAGAAGTGGTGACTTTAGACAAGAATCAAGAAGCTACAGCAAGATAAATGCACATCATCAGATTGAATTAAAAAAGATTGAAATTTATCAGCATATTCCAGTATTATTTTGTGACATCTTGGGCTGATTTCATAAATATTGTTTATAGGGGGCGGGGTGTTTATCAAATTCAGGGCCATTGCGCATGACATATACTTAATGTTTTCATTTGAACTTTCAAAAATTATACGATCATCAAATCACCTTAAATAAACCCAAACATAAAGCATGATATTACCGATCAGCATACGTAAAGATGAATACAAGCTGTCATCAATCCATAGCATGTAGGTATCACATGCAACTATCTTAACAGCTAGTTTTGATTTCACTTAATATGCTGTCACTTGAAATAATTCCACAGATCACATTGATTTATGTTCGTATGGACATTACCTGAAAGAATTTTGCCCTGTGTTTCGCCATAAAGATGGAAGGTAAGAGGAGCACATACAGTTTTTCGTAGAAGTTGGGATATTCTAAACCATGCTTAGTCATGAGGATGAAGAGACTGCTAAGGGCCATGACACTGACAACACCTCCAATATCATATGATCTTGTCAAAAAGTCACTGCGCAATTAAGTGCAAATCAGCAATTCAGTTAAAAGTAGGACGAACTATTCATATCCATGAGGTAAAAATATCCACTGTAATGCTATACCATAACATTATTGGATTAGACAGGTGAGGGATGACTGCTTGATGGAGATTGGAGAGAACCTGTGCATCAAAGACAAGCATATCAGAACAGAATAATGCACTACAATAACAGATGGTCATGAGGGGGGAGAGGGGGGGTCAGATAAACCACTGACACATCAAAAAAAGGAAATCCAAACTCGATATCAGCCTTAAAACTAAACATAAGTGCACCAATGCAAGTGTGGGTCCAAGAGCCGTACCTCCTTGTACACATCAATTGGAAGTGGTAGCCTAAGAAATGAAATCCAAGCCTTGGTAAACTTTAATTTCATCTTTTTGGCATAATTACCAGCAGATAAAACCTGAATGGACCACAAAACATAAAGCTCTATACAGAGTATAATGGAGTATTATACAAGATCAGAGACTACCTAGGATAAGATATGAAAAAAAAATTGCATGAAAAACTCAGCAACAACGTATCATTGATGACTCACGTCATTATCATGCTTCTCAGATTTAAGGTCTTTGTCTTCTGTTTTCAGGTGTTGAGAAGGCCCTTTCAGTTCACCTTTTTTAACAGAGAATCCTGGTTTGTATAGAATGATTAAACTCAGAATTCAGCAACCCACCAAAGTAGCAAGCTTGTAAAATAAAAATACTAAAGGCAGAAAAGTAACTAAAATTTTAAAATTATCTGCCACTTTTGATGCCTTGCATTGAATTGTCTGAGATAGTGTGTGCCCATGTGTGTTTGTTAGGAAGGAGCTGTATACATGCATAAAGCAGCTCTCAAGTGATCATATACTGATATTTGTACCAGCAAACAATTACCTGATCCACCCCACAGCTCATAATCAGAATTCTGTTTTGGGTCTTCTAGAGGAGGGATATTTGATATTAAATAATGAATCTTGTAAATAGAAAGCTCCAGGCTGAAATAATAGAGGAGTAAATAAATTTTCACATCTCTATAACACCATCAGAACAGAACATTTTCTTTCAAAAACCAAATTACCAGATGTGACAATCATACACTGATATTTGTACCAGCAAACAATTACCTTGAATCACTCTCACCAACTTTGTCACCACTCTCAGTTTTTCCATCTAGTAGAAAGAAACAAATCAAATAAACAAACATCTGGCAGAAAAAACACAAATTTTCAAAATGACAAGAATGACTAATCTATACCCTTACCAGAAATATCTTTCACCTCCAAATTCTTAGCGAATTTTTCAATGTTGATGTAAGTAAAATAACTGTACCGCAAACACACCCCCCCCACAAAAAAAAAAAAAAACCAAAAATCAAACTATTATTCATAAACCAGCAAAATCATAAAACTAATAATCAGCACTTCCACATTCTAAAAAGATAAAGCCAAAGAAAGACTTACCGGATATCAATGTACTTGAAATACTTTGATCCCAGCAACTCTAACACAAAATCCAAAGATTCTGTAGATTGCACCTGCAAGTAAAAATGAATACAGGCAGCTGTTCAACATTACAATTAACACTATTTTGTCAACATGCATAGATGAAATATAAGTAATTAACACATATATTTAACAGTATATTTACACTAATTTATCATGATAAGCAGTAACAGAATAATTACACAAATTTCACATAATTATATGAACAAAAATATTAACAGCCAATCTGCACTATAAAATCCGAAAGCAAATAGTCTTCACCATAATTAGATGAAATAGAAGTAATAAACAGCATAGCTGAGCTAATCTCACAAAATTAACAGAACAAAACTTACAATATTAACAAGAAATCTGTGATAAATAGCCGAATTGAACCTCCCTCCATTTCCAGTCTTGACGAATTCCATTAGTGTATCCAACACAACTTCCTACAAAAATCATACACGCAGAAATCATTAAAAACAAACAAGGATTTTACAGAAGTTAAAATAAATAATTGAAAGTACTGACCTTTAAAGCATCTTCAGCTTTCGTCGATACAGCAACATCAACGAGAGATTTAACAAACTCATCGAACTTAGAGCGAAGCCAGGTTTTATAGATAACGTCAGCTTCCGGCTCGTCGTTGTCTTTGTTGTGGGTGGGGCTTCGGGAGGAGGAAGGGAGGTCGGGGAGGATAGGAGAGAAGAAGGAGTGGAGAGAGAGGAGAGATTCGAGGACATGTTGAGGAGGAAAGTTAGGGGATATGTAAGTGAGAAGGAGAGGGAGGTTGTTTATGTGTGTTCTTGAAGAGAGAAGTTGGTGACCTAGGGTTTTGAGGTCTTTTAGACTGTGTTTTTTAGGGTTTCTTGGCTTGTTGATTGGATTTGGAGGAGGAGCGGCCATGGTTACTTCTTTGCTTTGCTTCGCTCTTGGAGGGAAAGCAGAGAGAGAGGGGAAGGAAACAAGAAGCGGTTTTTAGGTTTTTTAGGGGTTGGGTTGGGTTGGGCGGGTGGAGAGTCGTTTAGAGATGTCAATATGTAAAATGCCGGCATTCCTTGGCCCGGAAGACAGGCCCATGGATCCATCCAAAAATTGAATTTCTTTTTTTCAATTAATTCTAATTTTTTAGGGGAAAAAACAAAAGAAAAATAGCTACATTAAGTGATAATTATCTTATAATGTGATAATTGGAACGCAAAATAAATTATTATTAGTTTTAAAAGGCCTTAATTTTTAATACAACTCTTAAAGATTTCTATAATTGTTTTTTCTACGAACACAGTAACAAATGTATGACATGTCCTTAATAAATGTTTATCTCATTTTTTTTATTTCATGCATCATTAAGTAAATTATCTTATCCACAAGCACATTATATTATATTTTAAAAAATATGAAAAAAATATTGTGAAGGTATTATCAACATAGATTTATTATACTATTATCTACACCATAAACATAAAATATTTACACTATAGATAAGATTACAACACTATAAAGTGTTATCTTTTCTGTTTATTAATAAAAAAATATTGTTAGATAAAAATATTATCAGATCTAGTTCTATAGTTAGATTCAAGGTGTTTAAAATCACCTTTTTTTAACATTTAAAATAAAAAATGTTATTAATCCACTCTATAGTTAGATTCAAGGTATTTAAAATCACCTTTTTTTTAACATTTAAAATAAAAAATATTATTAATCCACTACAAAGTATGGATGCAAGGTCTTTAAAATCACCCTCCAATTTTCTTTTTACATTTAAAATAAAAAATGTTATTAATCCACTACAAAGTGTGGACGGATATGCTGGTAACATAACATAATATATATGTTTATTTTGAAAAGGATATGGCATATCTTCTTATTATTTATGATTTAAAAACAAAAAAAAAATCAGATTAAAAATACTCTAAAAAGATTTAATTTATGTCTTCATTTTATTTTCTACAACAAAAACACGTTTTTATTCTCTTTTATCCCCAAAAAATACGTTGCTTTACATTTCCAACTCTATAATGCATGTTGTATCTGAAGCTCGGGTTTTTTTATATATAAAAAAAAATATACTACCATGCATCAAGAAACAGTCACAAGTCGATGATCACTTGGCATGTAATGGTTAAGAAAAAACATTAGTAAGAACAACGTCGTCGATGAATACTACAAAATTCATGGGAACTTCCGAACTATATCCAATAACAAGACACGCATGCTAACTCCACTCGAGGAGCATAAGGATCAGGCATCTCACATAATGATCAGATGTATATATGACCCCAAAAAGGATCAAGAAAAGCCCTATCTGAAATAGAAGCTGATTCCACTGTCGTTCAGGATCAACTATGCTTGTGTCTGGCTTTGTGTAGCCATATCTCTCCGCCTGACTGCCTCTCTAACGACTCAAATATGCACGCATTTCCTTCTTTGAGTTCTGTTAATTTAAATATAGACAAGAACTTACTCTACTTCGGTATCTGATGGTGTCTTCCTTCCTCATCCTCGTCAGCGATGCTACAAGATAAAAACCAAACTCTATGGAACTAACAGCGCATGATCTCTCATTTCATATGTTTCGAGCATCCTTGATCCCAAGTTGCCAAAGAGAATCTGGGCCGACAAGGAATACACGTCTTGTTGTTTGGTATCTGAAAACAACTACTCCTTTAAATGATGTCCTTGGTATTCCATCCTAGAAATGAAAAGGGAAAAAATCAAGTGGAGACACAATTGTTTTCAAAATGATGAAAAAAATTCAGCTTATGAATAAAGAAAATTAGATCGAATAACAGCGGACATGCATAACCATGACACAGTGCCCCTCAGAGAAGGGATTTTTAACTGTAACATTGAACATTTGGATAGTGAAATGTCCCCCGAAATCTGAAGTGACATGACAGCAACTACTCAATCCAAATTATATACCCAAGAGCATATGATAAAGTCAATAATTCTCTCATCTCATTCCATATTGCACAACTTTATCCAAGTTAGAGCAGAGATACCTTCCACTCTTGGAAAATACCAAGCTGGCGTGCCCGAAATCTGAAGTGACATGACAGGAACTACTCAATCCAAATTATATAACCCAAGAGCATATGATGAAGTCAATAATTCTCTCATTTCATTCCATATTGCACAACTTTATCCAAGTTAGAGCAGAGATACCTTCCACTCTTGGAAAATACCAAGCTGGCGTGCAATCCTTTCAAAGTCTGGTTGGTCCTTGTACTGGATACGTACATCACCCTCTATATTTGAGACCTTAAGAACAGCATCAGTTCCTTGGATAGGTTTAGCTTTTCTCACAACGTCGGCAAAATGCTTTGTATACTTGTCCTGAGAACAGCAGCATTACATAATTTATTGACTGGAATTAGGTTTTAGGTCTCCTTCACTTTACATGAATTAAAAGAGTCCATTACCTTCATCAGGTAGCTTAAATCCCTCGACTTCCAATCAACCTTTCGAAGAAGAGGCAAAAGTGAAATTCATTATTATAATTTAACGATATGCATTATACATGCAGAAACTTCAACTAGGGGAAAGATGTGGAATACATAATACCTTTACATCGTAAATAAACTTTAATCCCCTCCATGTTTTCCAGTGAATGATTAACTGATTTGTAAGCTTCTGCCTAAACAGTCCTTGATGCATTTATATTAATCAACACTTGCTTAATATGTATGCTTGACGCGGAGATGCATCCAAACAACTAAAAAGAAACTAACAAGTGCAGTAGCATATAGATAGTCATACGTACATGCTCGCCAAAGTTATATGTTCTGCACACTTCTGGACGAATGAACTGTCGACCTTTATGATTCTCCTTCAATCGCAACCAATCATCCCAGTAAGTGGGTTTTTGTCAAGGAAATGTTAGTAAAATGCCTCGGCTTACACTATAAAAGCCTGACTTCAATACAATATAAAAAAAAGGATATGCTTTTGGCCATTTAGGGGATAGTTCGTCCCAAATTGATTTAGTCAGCATCCACCCAAGTCCAGGAAAGAAATCTGACCGATAAAGTTCGTCTGCAGAATACATTAAATAGCAGATCAGAAAAAACTAGGTGGTTCGCAAGGTTCTTACTTTAGCTCACTGAAAGTTAAATTGGTCATCACATGGATACATTTTAGAGTGAGAGGTGGTAGTATACGAGAAGTAAATAAGAAATGAACTTACAAGGATCATGCACAAACTGCTTTTGTCCATTGTCATTCCATGAGGAAACGGCCATAATGGACCTACAATGTTGGAAACCAAATGAGAATGAAACTAGCTTGCCAAAAGCCTAAGATCCCCTGCTTTTTTATATTAAAATTTAATGTGCAGGAACTAGAAAGGAAAAAAAAAAGCATACTTATCCTTGTCAAGAAGAGCTGCTGCAGCCTCAAAGTAATCAAAAAAATCAGGAGCGATTTCCATATCATCTGTTTGAGAAGCAAAACTTTAGCATTTTATTTCTCACACACACCCAAGTGAATATGGAGGGGAGAAAAGAAGTCCACCTTCAAGTATAATTACTCGGCTGAAATTATGCTTGTAAAATAATTGATCCATTGCCCATTTGTAATGCCCTATGGAAGAGATATCTATAAGTTAGTATCTTTCAGAAGAAAGCTATTACACAAGCAATCATTACTTGCAATCTTGTAATATGCAATCAATTCCCCAGGCCTTTCTGTGTGTACTGGTTCGGAATCCAAGTGCTGCAAATGAACAAAAAAGAAGCCAATGAAATCAAGCATTACAAATGAACAAAAAAGAAGCCAGTGAAATCAAGCATTGCAAGTGGAATGTGAAAAGTCCTCAAAGCATGGCTTGACATACCACAAATTTACAAAACATTATACATGCACCAAGGTTATCATAGCAGATGATAACCTTACATGCATACACAAAAATACATAGATTACAGTTTACCTGAATGTACATTAGCTGATCATAACTCATAGCCTTGCGTCTAACATTTGGGTCTGTTCCATCCTGAAAATTTGGAGAGAAAAAAATTATTACTAAAAGAAAACCGGAATAGCTATATGGTTTCTTATGCAACATATCTATTGGACAATAGGTGCGCAAGCCATGCTCACAACCAAACCTAATTTGCATTTCAACAAAGGAGGGGGGAAAAAACTAATACCAGTACCTGAGATACAAAAAGCGGATACTTTGAAGCAACGGACCTTTGATACCTGTAAACTTAGAAAACCAGTCAGCTAGTGTGTAGGATTGAGTTCAATGCAGTGGAAAACAAACTACATGAACATAAAACATACTTCAAAACGGACTCAATTGTACGTTCTAGATAATCAGCACGATTGCATGCCATGATCACAACTGCTGCCACTGGTACCTGCAAGAAGAGGTGGAAATAGCTTCTATAATTTGAAGCAATGACTACAGGGGTGTTTGGGAGTGTGGTGATAATTGTTTTTTAAAATGTTTTTTTTTGCACAAAAATGTATAAAAATTATTTTTATTTTATTTTTAAAAAATTATTTTTTACATCAACACATTAAAATGATATAAAAACATAAAAAAAATTGATCTGAAACAAAGAAAAAAAAAAAATTTCAAAAACGTTTTTGAAATGCAAAAACAAAGAGGCTGGCAAAAAAACATGTGTAAGAAGAAAAAACAAAAACAAAGAAAAGAGGAAAACTCAGAAATTATCCACGGTTCAGGAACTGTACCTTATCAACCAGTTTTTTAAGGCCTTTTCCTGCAACATTAGCATAAAGAACATTCTAAGTTTCTGATAATGTTTCCGTTAATACTGAAAAAAATTAACCGTTAACAGCAAATGCAAACTGGCCGAAAGAAAACCTAGATAGACAGTAACTGACAGAAATCAATGCTAATATCAAGGAAAGGAGAACAGAAGGTAAAACATCATCAAAATTAACCTTCAACTCGGCAAAACAATTTGGTTCTTTAATACCCACACACAACAAAGAACTTGCACATATTTCAAATTTCTCGCTTCCCCTTTTCCACAGGAACAATATTCTTAAGGTGTTCTGGGTTCTCATTTTGCAACCTAAGACCAAATTTCTATGTACTAAAATAAAATAAAAGTTGGCAGGCACCATTAGTAGCAAACTGAAGAGCGAAACCGAAAGAGTGAATGAAGAGAGCTTGCGTAGAAGTTTCAGTAAGAAATAAAAAACATACTTTCAAGATCTTCAAGAAGCGCCTTGAGCTGCCTACACTCTTCGCTTTGTCGTTTATTTTGTTCTGAAATTATTTCCATAAAATCCATAAATAATAAATAGCTCCAATTCAATTCAATAATTGTCGAGAGAGAGAGAGAGAGAGATGAGCAGCAGCACCTTGAAGAGAAACGATAGTGCCTTGCTGGATACTAATCTTATCAATAAGCAAACGTGATTGACTTGTACAATGATTCTCTGATTCAACGGCAGCAGCAAGCCGATCCTCGTACTCTGATTGCGTAACAAATAACCGCATCTGAAAATTACACAAAAGTTCCAGTTGTTTTCATTGGATCTGCGAGAGAGGAAAAGAAGACTGCCGGTGAGTGGCCTACCTGGATATAGAAGAATGCGAGTGCGGCTGGTATCAGAAGGCATCGATAATCGCATCCCACTCTCCTCATTTCAACCCTTTTCTTCTTCTTTTTTTATTAATTAATTCTTCACCATTCTCTCTGCTCTCTGTTGCTCAAGAAGAGGGTTTGATTTTCTTTTAACTCGCAATAGTCTCCTAGCAATTTCCATTTTCGAATATTCCAGTGGACCCAAATCAACCACCCAATAAGTCATTGCCACGTTTTCCAACGTTGATTAAAACGCCAGCGTCTGTTTCGACTTGCGAACAAATATAAGTCAATCACGAAGACTAACCTGAGCTTCCTTTTTTTTAAAAAAAAAATAGGGATTTCGAGATGGCATTATCATTGCCAAGTCCAGGCCTTTATCCTCTCAATCCAACCCTTCTGCAAATGCCGTCATTGCTATTATCGGTGCAGGGGTGTTCTTGGTCTACCTTATTCTTTTAAACGCATTGGATGGCTTATCGGCTGTTACTGGTTTAACTAATTATAGCATGTTGTTGTTAGTTCACACTCATTGAAAGCTTCCATCTTTCTTTCTCTGGTAAATTCTCAAGGATCAACACTCCCATGGCAGCAACACCGACGACACCAGCTAAAATACTCAAAGAAGCCAAACGAGTCGGTGTTGCGATGGAATTTAACCCCTCTTGAAAAGGAAAACAAGTAACATCCCCATAAGCACCACCTCTTAGCTGACATTGAAAAGGCAATAACTTGAGAAGTCAAGCTAATGGGGTAGATTGATGTTCGTTTCTATAATGACCTTGGAATTGACACAAAGCCACTAGGGCATGGCTTCTTGGACTCGGTTGAATGGGCTGGGTTCAAAGCTTGGTTCCACGTGAAGTTTTAACGTCCTGCTTCCCCCTGGTCCTTCTTCGGGACAAGATTCTAATTTCTACCCTATTTTGGCTTGCTAACTTAAATTACATAGCTCAATTAATTAATTTGAAAAAAAAATATCAACAGCAGTTATTATAAAGAGATTTAATTAAATCTCATTTTTATTATAATAAATACCTTCATGTTCTTCTGTCATTAAAGAGGGGTTTTTTTTTTGTCATTTGGTTAATATTTTGAAGTAATAAAAATAAAGATAAAATAAAATAAAAATATATATAATTGTAATTTATAGTGGTGTATAATATTAACCGGTATCTTTATATTGTATTTAGTTGATTGTCTACGAGAAATAATAAAATGTGAAAAAAATCTATTATATCATCAATATATATTATTGTTAATTTTATATTTTTTAAAAAAAAAATTAAATATTATTTTTTATTTTAATTTGCATTAACTATTAAATTAATAATAATATAATAACTCTAAATATACAACATAAATCAGCTTGACAAATTGCTTTGAGACTAGACATTTACACTCTTGATGGTCCAAATTTAAAAAGAAAATAAATGCAAGATTGATTTTTTTTAGCCCAGCCAAAGTTTAAGTTAACCCATAATTTGATCAACCAGAATAAAATCTAAGTAAAAAAATAATTATTATTTTAGTAAAAATAATTAGAAAAACTTTATTTTGATCATTTTTTTTTTAAATTGATTTAAAATAACTTAAATTGATATTCTTAACTCATGATCATGATCAAAACATAATCATCAATTTCAAGTCAAGTTTTCAAATTAGAATAATAATTAAATGAAAACTTAGAATAATAACTAAATGTAATATTGCATAACTCAATTATCAATTTAAAAAGTTAATGACTACGTATTAAAAAAAGATTTCTTTTTATTCTTACAAATGCATTATATTAAAAAAAATGTTAAGATTTCTTTTTATTCTTACAAATGCATTCATATTCTCTTACAATTATTAAAAATTTATTTTAAAATGTAGTTGTGGTTGTTTTTAAAGTATTTTTATTTAGAAATGTATTAAAATAATATTTTTATTTTTTAAAAAATTATTTTCAATACTAATGTATTAAAATATTTTTAAAATAAAAAAATATATTAATTTAAAGTAAATAAAAAATTAAAATATTTTTAAAATCCAAAAACATAAATCTTTTTGTCACAGTATTTTGCTGATAGACTTTTCAACTCTGTTGGGTAACAGGACTGATATAGATAGAACGTCGGATTAAGGATCGGCGTGATAACTAGGCTTCCAACAGCAATTCCCTATTTTTATTACCAGCCAATACCAATTCTGTTAAAAACATCATCGACGACCGATCTCTCTTCTAATTATTGCTCTTCTTCAAACTAAACCTCAAAACAAACGAACAATCAACCAATCAAACATGGGATCTGGGAGGAAAAAGGCATCCTCATCAGCAAAAACTATTCCACCAAGAGAAGACACACCTCTCATAGCCAAGTCCACGCCCTTATCATCTCAATGGAAGACTTTTGCAAATGTCTTCATTGCTATTGTCGGTGCTGGTGTTCTTGGTCTCCCTTATGCTTTCAAACGCACAGGTTGGCTAATGAGTCTTATTATGCTTTTCTCTGTTGCTTGCTTAACTCATTATTGTATGATGTTGTTAGTCAATACCCGTGGAAAGCTTCAGTCTTTTTCTGGTGGATTCTCAAAGATTAACTCTTTTGGTGATGTGGGTTTCACTGTTTGTGGTTCTATTGGGAGGTTTGTTGTTGATGGTATGATTGTCTTGTCACAAGCGGGATTTTGTATTGGTTATTTGATATTCATTGCTAATACTTTGGCTCATCTATTCAATTCGCCATCACCTAATAGCCTGGCTTCTCAAATTCTGGCCCTTTCAATGTCAGCTAAGAGTTGGTATATGTGGGGTTGTTTTCCTTTTCAGTTGGGGTTGAATTCTATTGCAACGTTGACCCATCTGGCTCCTCTGAGTATTTTTGCTGATGTTGTTGATCTTGCTGCCATGGGAGTGGTGATTGTCAAGGATGTTTTTATAATGATGGAAAATAGGCCTGAAGTTAGAGCATTTGGAGGTTTGTCTGTGTTTTTCTATGGGATGGGTGTGGCTGTTTATGCGTTTGAAGGGATTGGCATGGTTTTGCCAATAGAATCTGAAATGAGAGAGAGGGAAAAGTTTGGGAGAATCCTAGGGCTGAGCATGGGGCTTATTTCAGTGATATATGGAGCTTTTGGCGTGCTGGGTTACTTTGCTTTTGGAAATGATACTCAGGATGTTATCACTGCTAATTTAGGCCCTGGACTCATTAGCCTCTTGGTTCAATTGGGTCTTTGTATTAACCTGTTCTTTACATTTCCTTTGATGATGAACCCTGTTTATGAGATACTGGAGAGAAGGTTTTGGGGTGGAAGGTATTGTTTGTGGCTTAGATGGGTATCCGTTTTGTTGGTTACTTTGGTGGCTCTAATGGCGCCGAATTTTGCCGACTTCATGTCCTTGGTGGGGAGTAGTGTGTGCTGCGGGCTGGGATTTGTTTTGCCAGCTTTGTTTCACTTGCTCGTGTTCAGGGAGGAGATGAGTTGGAAAGGGTGGAGTATTGATGTAGGGATTGTGGCCTTAGGCCTTGTTCTTGCTGTTTCTGGGACATGGTACGCCCTCATGGAGATCTTTGCTGTCAAGGTATAGGGCGTGTTCTTCTTAGAATATGGCTGGTGTGAATTATAGCAGTAAGCGTGTTCCTATCCCCATTCTTTTTTGTAGACACGTTGCGTTACTATTATCGCTTCACTGTGAAACTACCTTGTGTCGATCTGGAAATTGTGTCTGATTGTTAGATAGGATGTTTGTAGGATGAGGTTCCAACATGGATTATATGGCTGTCATTTTTCTGGTGTAACCAGAGAGTACATAGCAAACAGGATTCCAAGGAAATCTCTCTCGTCCTTTGTTTTTCTCTTCTTCAAATTGCTAGATTCAATCCAGGTGATAGGATCAGATATGAATATAGGTGTAAGCCATAACTATACACTTCTTCTTCTTCTTTTAATAATATCTATTTACTTGTCGAATAGAATAATTGTTTCATAAAGAAAATTATCTAATCGAGTCGGTTCAGATCATCACTTATTAACTTCGGATTAAATTCCCATCCCCGCTCTCGTGTTCTTTGCCATTGCCATCCAAGGGATCCCACTTACTGAAACTTCATTACTTAGCCATTACTGTATACTTTTTTCATAAAACCTATTTTTAATTGGTCAGCATAATGATTTCTTAAAATAAAACCTTACCGATAATATTAACAAAAAAAAAAAAACTAAAAAATGTACCTATTATCAAAAGCAAATAATACTTTTTTCATTTGATTTTCTATCGATAAATTTTTTTTTTCTTCTAATACTTTTCTTCAACATGGTATTTTATTATTTCATATTAAATTAATTTTAAATTAGATTTCATGTTATGTTCTACCTGCTTTTTATTAGATTATTTAATTCTCGTGATTCAATAATAGTGCTAAACAGGCTAACCTGAGTTGATCAGAGTAATTTTTTATTATATATATAATTTTATTATTTAATATTAAGTTGGTTGAGAATTAAGCTTTATAATCTATTTATTATTTTTTTATGGGGATATTTAGTCTTATAATTAGATTCATGAGTTTTGTCGTCTTGACTTCGATTAAATCATATTTTTTTTCTGTTTTCTTTTTAAGGGATAATATTGGTGTCATAATTTGGACCATGAGACATTCAACATTGGATTTTATTTTTGTTGGATTGTCCTTGTCTCATGACTTGGGTTGCTGGTTTAATGAGTTAACCCAACCGACATATTTTTTTTGTTTTTTTTTTAATTTTATCATTTAATATTGTGTTTCATTTGGTATTAGATTTTATAATTTATTTTGATTTACTTTTTTATAAGGATATCCTAACTTTATAACTTGAGAATAATGCTTAATGAGCTAATCCAGATTGATTTGACTTATTTTTATGTCATTTTTAAATTAATTTTTTTATAAATTTTATAGTTCAACTCTGGATCTAACAAGATTGATTGGAAATTAAATTTCATATTTTTTTTTTAATTTTTTTCATATAAGTTTATCATAAATCTCGTTATCAGAGTCATAAATTCAGAAGGTTAATCTAAGTTAAATCATGTCTTTTTTTATATTTTTTATATGAGGATTCCAATCTTATGACTAGGGTCATAAGTTTGATGGATTGACTCGGGTCATTTTAAGTTTTTTTTTTAATTAATTTTTTAAAATATTATCCCTCAACATCGGACTGGTTGAAAATTGAATTTTATAATTTATTTTAATTTATTTTCTATGAGATTATTTTAGTTTTATGATCTAGATCACAAGTATGATAGGTTAATTAGAGTCGTTTTTTTTTTGTTTTTTTAATTGATTTTAATTTTTAATTTTATCATTTAATATTTTATTGATTGAGAATTATGCTTCATAACTTATTTTGATTTACTTTCTAAGGGGTTATTATTGTCTCATAACTTGGGTCATTGATTTGACATGTTAATCCGGGTCGATTCAATTTAATTTAATATAGTATTGTCTTAACATTAAAAAAGGACGTCATTTGAATTTTTTTAGTTAAATTATATTTTTATAGATAATCTAAATTGTTTATGAATACCCAAAGTTATCCAAGTCATATCAAATCAACTCCAACGTGTTTGGTATTATGATAGTTTTTGTGGTTGTAGTTTGAAAGAAATTATCTTATAAAAGGTATTTTTAGTTAAGGTTAGTATGGAAAAATATATGTTTGGTTAAAACTGTGGTTGAAATTAAAGTTGAACAAATTGATTGAAAATTATAGGCTAATAAGATTGATTGAAAATTAAATTTCATAATTTATTTTAATTTTTTTCTATACAAGCGTATCATAATCTCACGATCAAAGTCGTAGATTCAAAAGGTTAACCTAGATTAAATCATGTTTTTTTTTATACGAGGATTCCAATTTCATGACTAGGTTTA